GATACATATAAAGATTGCATCTTCAGTGTTGGGAAGTAAAGATCCTCTCAATCTTGCTTGTCTTTCCATATTCACCTGCAAATTCGTAGTGAACGAAAGAACTGCTCACATCCCATCAAACTAATCCCAAGTAAATATGAGGGTTACGTACATTGCTGCCCATTGTTGTCAGTATAGTGATGAACCTTTGCAAGAGAGGTATAATGGCTTTAACGCCCCTCCTAAGCATTCACTATGAAGAAAATTTACCTGGCTGCTGCTGTGAGATTTCCTTGTTCCTTCCGAGTGTGGTTTAGTCTTAAAACCTGTAAGGCACAGAAGACATCATTCTGCAGCACGGCATGGCTCGTTCAATTCAACGCTTTGTGCATTGTTCAACTGTTAACACATTTTCAAATCAAGGTGTGTGTAAGGTTTACGTAACTAGTTAATCTGAAGCAGTGGGATAATCCTCCAACAAAAATGCGGTGGAAATTATAGACAGATTCCTGCTTAATTATTGTCCCCAAACAGAAGCGTTTATCAAATTGTGAGGTTTGTACCTTGGGTTTTCTACACGTGGAATATTCATTCATCTCCACCTACGCTATTCGCATTTGTGATGGATAAAAAGTAAGTGCTTTCGTGGAATGATTTAACTTGAACTTGTTCATATAATGATGCAGCAGCAGCCGACGATCGTTTATTCAGACAGATATCCTGCATAATTTACTTTTATGGACACATATCTGTAGTACATACCTGCAACAGCAGCTAAATTCGTGCATTAATTTCTAAAAAAAAATAACCTTATCCTTGTATATATTCAAAATGCGGAAGGTTTATAATTGAGACAAACAATAACAATATGGTGTTTCGCCAGCAATTTTGCTATGCCTTTACGTATAACAAACCAGGGCTTGCATATTAGGGGTCACAAGAGCACTTAATCGTGGCATTGTATTTTGGGTATCTTCCAATTTTGCATGAAGTACATTTTTAATTAATAAGATGCCGGATGCAACGCAGAAGGATTGCAGAAATGAGTTAGGTAATAAGCATGTTGGCACAAAATTCTTGGGTTCGATGATGAGGATAACCCCAAAGGCAACCACTTTGATTCCAATCACTTTGAAATCATACCTCATCATTATTACTGTCTCACCAAATTAAGCCAAGCAGAATAGGCGTGAAGCTGCATATGTATGTATTGCCTGATGGCTTATACGTATTTACGTCTGTATCCTTTGTGCTTCGTGTGATATTTACAAGCACGAGCACCATCAACGAGACTAAAATTGATTCCATCCTTCTTAAGTATGATGGATGAACTTATCTGAGAATAAGAAGTTCAATTGAAAATGAAAATTATTCATATTTGCCAATATCAATCTACTTAAATACGTGCGAATAAATGTGAAAGCTTTATATTTATTGTTATCGGGAAGTGGGCTCTTAATAGTAATCACTTCAATTTCATATTGACCATCAGTACATACTTACATCAGTACAATCACGCACTGCGTATAACACCACCACCTTGCCCCAAATTTAAAAGTGTTAATATGTAAACTGGACTTTCTTCAAAATTATTCCTATAAGCTCTCTGACTGAATGAGGAGAAATCAATCATAATCTTGATCAAAAGCACCACATATTCAACTACAGAAAAGTATAACGAATTGCCGACCAAGTCCATTATGTGGCACTCGACAACTGCATAACAAGGCGCATGGTAAAGCAATGGTTGGCTAAGGATAAGATGCGAACTTTTTAATTTGAGGTTTTATTTTGAAGTTTCCCTTCAAATTCAATTCAATGCAGCAATAATAATCAAATATCGTGCAATTTGCTTTGAAACCAGCCTTTCTCATTTCCGTTTGGTCAGCCACACACTCCATCGGCTCAATCTCAGATCATCTATTCTTGACTACAGAGAAATAGATAATGCCACTTGCTACGTTTGGTTGGATTGGTTTCACTAAACAGCATCTCACCACCAGAGAGTAGTATCGAGTGTGATCATATTTTGAATTCAGCATGAGTTACAGCAGTACCATAACAAGATTTAAATGCACCTTGTTATGAAAAGCGTGAAATGGAGATGAAAAATGAAAAGTGAGTTTTCATGTTGCATTAGTTCTGCAATCCCTTAATGCGATTATCGCTTTTTTATAATTAGTCGTGGTCTGCCCAGCTTGGTTTGTAACCAGCTCTTTACACAAGATATGAACATAACATCGTATGATGGTGTGAAATCAAGAATAAAAAATCTCAACCAAATAGAAAATATAGTATTATTTTTTAATAATGCAAATCTGGGAGACAGAAATATGCACTTGGACTCACAAAGGTACATCCGTACACTTTATCTATTAAACTAACATATAGACAAAATTACTTGACTGTCTTCAAACACAAATCGATTTTGTAATTTTTGGAAATATTTTTCAATATATAAACTGAATCGTCTGCTTTGATCGTCTGATGACTTTCAACGCAGAGCTAATGCGCCATGCGTGTTCGATTAACAAGTCATCAATTCGTTAATCTTTCCATTTTTATTGTTCATGAAAATCTCTTTTAACTATTGTGCTTAATTGCTTCAAAATATAAAAAGAGCAAATGTCAGGGATTACACACCTGGCCTAGAAGTGTGGTGTGGTTTATTGGTTATTATATTTGCACCGCAGACGTCCATTATTGTTTTATTCTACTCTGTAAACATAAACTCGTTTACAATTTGCTTGCGGTTTGAGATTTATCAGGAAAGAAAGCTAGGTCATGCCAGGTCACAGTGTATTAAACTCCCACCAAAGATAAACACTGCTTCATACCTTTTGACATATTAATTATTTTTATCATCCACACGTTATTCAATATTTCCGAAGTGTGATCAATATACAAACACCGGTATATACTATACATACACATGAATATGTACAATACTTAGGGTTTACCTAAGTTTCTGGTCATGTTGGTGATGTGTTTTATGTCCAAAATAGGAATTACACATGATGACTCATATTTATGTAGCGTATGTAGATAAACATTATAATATTGAATGATTCAGTCCATGGAATATTGATTTAGGTCAAGCTTCGCCCGTTGATGGACAATTATGACTGGTCCAGCAATTTTGCAGTCCAAATATAGTCGTCATAATATAGGCTGGTCAAATTGAATCAAGGGTTTGGATTATATCTATGCATACAGCATTATGCGCATGAATCACGGCTATACGTGAGTAGTTTCCACGATTATTGATTGCAGATCTGTGTTTCAAAACTGTTCCATAACGTTGTAGACACATTAATCATCTCCTGATAAAATAATAATAAGCCTGCCTGCGTTCTGTGAATATGGATGAATGGATACATACATGCATAGCTTTTAATAAAATCTCGATATCACCACAACTTATCACCTCCAACCTCTCTACCATCTGCTCTAGCGTTGTCGACTGAGCGTCAGGTTAATTGTGCGATGACTGACATTGTCAATTGTTCTTCCCCCCACACAGAGTCGTCAAATGATAGTGAGAGCCTACATGAGCAAATAAATAATATGTGTGAGACCAGTCGCTACGTTGTATCATTTTTATGGAAATGGTTGCGAATATCAGTAATGGGCTGATAAAGCGCAACGAACAAATCCCCGTATATAAATTCCACGCATTTATACACATACTTTGGTCAGGAAATTCAAGGTGAGCAGTTAGATTAGGAAGCTGTGAAGTGTAGTTCTGTATCAATGATTCGTACTCATTAGGAATTTGTTCAGTGAGTGAAAACTATTTCGTGCGACAGTCGCAATTGGTGTAAACTCTACCAGTGATTTGTAAGTTTTTTTTCATTTTCTAAGCTTGTTAAAATATGGAGGCGTTTTAGAGCTAATTACACACGTTGATCTCTCTCTACGTAATGCATAGCGTTTAAATAATAAAAAAAGACTGAAACTTTTCTTGGGCACCACGGGTGCCCCATTTTCATACTATTTGTTCATACAATTACTAACACAAGCTATTGAAGCGCATGTGAAATTTGTTTGATCGCGTTCTCTAAAAAAAGTGCGAAACAGCACGAGTAGAATTTTAATTAACTACATATGTATATTTAACTCGATTACAAAAAATTCCACTTGGAGGAATTTTCACTATCACATAGATTGTAATAGTTTCAGCTTTATTGTATTGCATCCTCAAATGCAGTATTATATGCAACTTTTTTAAAAGAAAACTCGAGAATGAGTGAACGACTGAGCTAAATTGGGATATATATGTAGGAACCGTTCCACCCTAATAAATGAAACGCAGCCAGTAAAAAAAGAATGCATCGTAGAAAAAAAGACATAAAATTGAAACTTGAACAGATAATGCTCATTGCATTTACTAGGCTCGAATGCAGTCATCTATGTACATAAACCATCATGAATCCATTGATTGATCAGTTCAATCATTCAAACAATTAAGCGCTTTCATGTTCATTAGTTGATTAGATGAAAAATGAAAGAAAAATGCCGTTGCTGGTTATCCAATTGTCTCAAATGAACCACAACTTTAATACATCATCCACCTTTTACGGGATTGTCCTGAATTCTTGGTAGGGGTTGAGATATTGAGATGATTCACTTTGTGTGATTCTGATTTTAAGCTGTATTGATTTAGTCGTCGAATAAAATGTGTAACTCGATAAAACGATAAAGTCATTCGGTCGACTTTCTCATTCATGAAATAATAGTATCGAACATCCCAGAGCATCCCAGCTACAGAGATGTTGACTGGTGTTGAATCCATTCTTTCATAAAAGTCCAATCCTCGTCACCTCAAAAGAGGAAATTGAGACGGCACGCATTTGAGACATGTCCAAATGCAGCTATCTCACCATAACGGAAATAAATTGTGAGGCTCAGATTTGCCTTATGAATAAGGTCTTGTTTGCGTATAATCTTGATAAAAGTCTAAACAATGAGTTGGATACTTAGTGTAAAATGATAAGAATATTTTCTTTGTATTTTGTCAGGTGATAAATTATCCCCGTCAAGTGGACTTTTGATTGAAACTCAGAATTTGTGGGACACTTCTTTGTCACCAACCTCACCCAATTCCCACTCGTCATCCGACCCAGACTTGCCAGCTTCCTCCTCATCTTCCACAACGAGTGATATATCAGAAACATCAGTCCAACTTGCCACCATCATGACCGACGCTGAAACAAGAAATCAGTTCATTCGGCAGGATTCTAAATATTATGATGATGCTGACATTGACGCTGAAGAGGACGGAGGGTTTGAAAGCTTCCAAGTTTTGGATGCTGATGGCGAAAGATATGAAGATGAGGACGACGGAAATTCCAACAGCGACGAAGGTCAATTCCTTGGAATCAGTGAAAGCACGGCTTCTCGCCAACTAACTTTTTCCCAACTCTCCCAAAATATTCCGGAAAAAGAGTTGAAACAAAAGGCATCTACAGTGCTAGATTTGATCAACGCCGAAATTTCGGATCTGCACACAAGAGAGTTGGAGTTGAAGAAGAAGAACCGGACTGCGGACGGGAAGGGAGACTACGAGGGGGAAAGTGAGGACTTTGTGGAGGAAGGGTCCTCTCAGGCGGACTCTGACGACTACTCGGACTCTGCTGTCGACATGGTGGAAACCTTCTCTCGCACCTCAAACTCTTCGGGAAATGTGACCCCAGCGGACAGCAACGGGAGGGACAAGAGTGAGGAGCGAGAGAGGAGCTCAGGGTCACCGCCTCGAACCGGTGGGTCCTTCAACCCAGCGGAAGTGGGGGATAACAAGGTGGTGGTGGTGCAAGATCAGATCATCACTTCCTCATCGTTGATGACGGCGGGTAGTTTCACGGATGAGGATGAAGCCCCCTCGAGTGGAACCACCTCGGGCAAGGTTGGAGTTAAGGTCCGACCCATTGTTGAGGAAGAAGTTAAATCCATTGAACTCAGGTAAATATTTTCTGCCTTTCTAAAACATGTACCGTCAGTCAAGTAGCGGAACTTTGCCCTGGGAAACAGAACTTTGGTCTCCCCAGCACTAATCCTAAGTTAGGGGGAATCCTACCCACTGTTGCAGGATTTTCCAGGTCCTCATTCCCTTGAACTTTTAGCTCTGTTTTTTCCTGCGTAGTTATTCTTTCCAAAGCAGCATACGTTGTACATATATTTTATGGGTTAAATAATTATAACGCCTGGAAATTAATTTTTGGGTACCGGTTCCTCCAAACTTTTTTGCTTTCTCGCAGAGCCAAACTTAAATAAATCATTCATTTTCGGAACCTTCAGACCTGTACAAAATTGGAAAGTTTTTATAAAATCTTTGCGTCTTGAGGTTACTTTTGGGAAAACTAGAATTTCCTACCAAATTTTTCTTAATTTTATGAAATCAAAATTTGTGGTTCGAGGGAAATCTAAACTATTTAAAAGTGCTGGGGAAACCGAATATCGGGTTTGCCAGGCAGAAGTTCCGCTTCCCCGTCACTGGTACCTCACTGACCGTTGCATGATGCTCATTATTACATACAGCATTATACTTAAGTATTTAGAAGGCTGCACATACATGCACAATTAACCATGTATGAAATATAACAACATACGTATATCCACCTACATTGTTTTAAATTTGGTATTAGTTTTATTAGATATATGTACATGTACATTCATATGCATGTACATACGTATCTCATGTAGGGTTTACTGTTACCCATCTTCTTTTTTGATCTTGTGAGTGACAAACATATTATTGAGGCAAATTGATACACACTTTTCTCAACTTTCTGTTCACGTGGACCATGGAAGTATGTGATTAAAGCTTGTAAATGGGAGAATACTAATGACCCTCTTTAAGCGTAATGTGTAGCTTAATAAAAGAGTAATAAGTCATGCATTGAAGTGCCCAACATTTGATAACACATTTGATAATATGGAATTAGTTTCGAAGCTGAGGTTGGCGAAGCACAACAAAAAACGAAAGCGTTTTCATTTGAATTCTTTTGAAATTGAACTGTTGTCATTTCGAACTCGTGTTCAAATGCTGACCACACTGCTCAATCGTACATATGGGTATGCACATGCATATGCACATATATATGTACGTATGCTTGCGTATTTGTAACGAGCTGATGTACTTTTGTATTTGTATTTGAAAAGACATTGAGGTGAAGCACATAAATAAGTTCCAATGCGATAACAACTGAAGCTAATTTTTGTGAGAGGGAGAGGTTTAGGGAGAGGAAATATTTAACAGCCGTATAAATGTGGCACCACGACCACCACCCATGAAATGAAATAGCTGGCACTCTTATTACCGTCAGTGGCATTTACAACCGTCTCAGAATGAATGTTTTTATATATTTTTTGAGCTCGATCTTATGGAACCGTCGTGTCGGGTATACGATAACGCTCCTTAAACTCATTGCATCGACTTGAAATTTGATATACATGTAAAGTGCGTCAAATGGGATGAAGAATATTCAAAATGGTCGTAGAAAGCTGACATTCAGGAAATTGGTCGTATTTTAGTTGTAAGACGATCAATTGTTATTCAGAAGGACCGGGTTGGGTGACTTTCACCTGATTATCGAAAGCTGAAATTATGGAGTACATCAGATTCCCAAATATGGAGTAAATTTTTTTGCCGGTAGGATTGAACTGGGTGACCCATACTGATTTTTAAATTGGTTGAAAAGCTGAAATATTTGATTATGGCATTTTTGACTATACGAATAGTAGTTGGGTCTTCTGACAAAAATTTAGAAGCGGACTCTGACCCTGACTCGGGCTAAATCACACTGTCAACTGTAGGCTTTTAAAGAAATTATTTTCCTACGCCTCATAAACAGTTTTGCTTGGACCCAATATTTCAAATCTTCAGACGTGATTTTCATCTTACTTCTTCAATTTAACAATTTTCTAATTTCATGGTGGATTAAAGGAGAAGCATTACTATCAAGTATCGGCGACACAAGACAGAATATTTCATAGTTGGTTGATTCTTTTGCATGTATATCGAATCAAATATATAATAATTTTTACGTATAATCGTAAATTACTTAATTAATTCATTATGCTTTATTTATGCAAAAAAATCAATCGATTCATGGGAAACATGAAATCGATGCAAATTATTATGAGGACTTAAACATGATAATGTTATGTCAATCTACAAATTTCGACCGCTTGTTCATGACCATTGTTCGATAAATTTTAAATGACTTTTAAATGATTAGCGTGGAGAAGGAGACACCAATCGAGCGAGAAATTCGGTAAGTGTGAAGTTTTAAGTTCAATAATAACTTTATTGACGAAATATAAATCTAACTTGTACAGACTTGTACGTGAGCGTGAAACTGAATTCCGTCGTCAAAGAATTGCCACCACTGGGACGTCGGCAGATTCGGATGAACAATCGTTTCCAACATCCCCGACCAACAATAAGGCGGCGATCGTTAATCATCACGAAGAAGCGTCAAAGAAAATTACAACCAGCGGTAAAGCCAGCAATGTTATTGCCAATGTCAAGTCCATTTTCGGGACCGATGGCATTTCTGCCGGAGGATCGTCAGGTCAAAAGGATCTCCAGTACGAAATGGCAACCGCTAGACTCAAACGCGAGATGGAGGAAAACTTGATGCGTGAAAGGGAACTTTTCCAAGAAGGGAGATTAAAGTCATTGAGTGCCCCGGAACCTGCTGAGGTAACACCTTCTTGCTGCAATCCTTATGACTGAAATTCAGTCACTGAATGGATAAGCATGTGAATGAAAATTTAAAATTGTCAAAATATAGGTCGCCGCTTCAGACGAGGCATCAAATGTGACAGAGTCTGAAAGCGCTACGCCAAACAACGAGGACGATGCTGACGATGCTTTCCAGGATGGGTCAGACCCAGAGGAGAAAGTGGACGAGTCACAATTTACGATTGGTGCACGTCGAGCAGTGGTACGATTGCCATCCGAACCTGTCAGCAGCCAACTTAGTGCCGGCCCTCAACCAAATTTCCAAACCTCTTCCGTCGCCCCACATTCCGCACCGGCGGTTAATAACATGCGGTTCTTTGCCCCTGCTGGATTTTCCCCTCAGTCGCACCACTCCTTGCAAAGGGGGTCGTCCTTCTCCTCCACCCAAACCCAGTCCCTCCCATTCTCCAAGGCACAGTTTACTTCCATTGAGCGAATGATTTTGAAGGGGAGCTTTGCCTTCAACAAGAACACCATTACGATAGAGGAGCCACAGAGGATGCAGGAGGAGATGAGGATGAACAAGATAGCTCTGATGCCAGACCCCCTCCAAATTGTCCACAGGGTGGAGTCCATTGACGAGACTGAGGAAGGGGGTGAAGTTGAGCAAGAGGAGGTCAAACCGAGGAGAAAGTATGTTCCGGCACAGGATAAGATTCAGAAGGAGCTACAGGAACAGAGCAAGCGTGAGAAAGGTGCGTACAGTAATTTCATATTTTCGCATAATTATAAATTAATGCGAATTACATGTTATTTGATGTCATATTTTTAGTGCAGGTATTATTGTTTTAAACTTAAAAAAAACAAATCAACAAATTGTAACAAGGAATGCAATTTCATGGTTCCAGTGTGTTGGAATGCATATGAGACTTGTATTTATATTGATGTATTATTTTTATCGTAATCAAACATGTTCATGGACACATGTCAATTGTTTAAAAATCATGCAGATTAGTTGATAAGTATTCAGTATAGTTTTGATAAACAAATATCCGCGAAAAGATGGCCTTGTCCCAAACTAAATATGACGATGACCATGAATTATTCAAATAGTTGAATCAAGTTGGATTTCATTCTAACAACTATGTTAACGTTCTTTTTGTTTCTCAACAGAACTATCACAATTGCGAGCCAAGTGGAAATCCACCCCAGACCTGTCCAAGTCAGATGATAAGATTGAAGGGGAGGCTATTGGCGTAGATCGCGACGTAGAGGGGGAAGGATTAACAAAACCTAGTGCACTTCGGAGGCAGATGAGCTCTTCCACACAAAAGCTCACAATTATCGACGATGTCACCACAACAGACGTCCTCAGAATAAATAAGCCCACTGTTCGGAGACGACAGTCTGCTCTGATCAACCAATGGGAAGAAATGATAAAGCAACAACAACAGAAAAATAATAAAAATTAAACATAATTATAGCTGCATGACTTATAACTAATCCTGCACGCTATGTATATTTAAATACATGTATGTCGTATGTATAACTGAAATTAATATCCTGCATTGAGTAGGTTTAGTCAATCCGTGGATAACAGCAACGGTGGATATAGATTACCATTTAATAATTTACTAATCATACCAATAGAGCTAGATTTTAAATAATTATTTTCAAGTACAGAAAGATTCGAATTATTATTGACATTATATTATTGACATTTACTTCAAATTCCACATTATAATTATTTTATGAATACCATTATGTACATTGCACAGAGTCACTATAAGCTTTCATGTATCCTTCTTGTTTTAATGTACCCAAAGAATTAACAGAATTGAAATTATGTATGTGGGAGTGAACCGATGTCATCACTGCACTGATATGACTTATGATGTATTATACATGAACATTAGCAATTAAACAACTTTATATTATATAATCACACATGCCTCGCATAAAGTGAGGAGATTGATTCTGCGTTTTATTAAAAATTCAAACTGCTGAATACAAAGCACAGGTAGCATGCCAATTATAAATATAATTAATTATATAATTATTATGCATATCACATTGATGTGTATATGTATATGAATATAAAATATATTGAATCACAAAAACAAAAACATTATTATAAGATAAAAATTATTCTTACTATTATATAAATTCTCGTCGCCACCAATAATTAATCGTCATCTGAAGAAATATTATCAATTTCAGAATCATTCCCACCTGAAACTGATTTCCAAAATGAAATAGCAACTTTTTCTGCATACGCCTTCCTCTGACTTGGAGACAGACTTTCTGCTTTGCTTTTCATTTCATTTAAATTATTAAACAACTCTTCGAAAGATTCCTCTGGCATCGATTCCATGGCTTGAAAAATTGCATCTAAAAATAATTTTTAAGAAATAAATGCGGTACGGTGATGATGAATGTTAAATAGTAATTAACTAACCAAGCCGAGTATCCCTGACTGGGGAAGGTCTGCTATCTGCTTCACCTGAGAGATTGAAAGAATTGCCTTCGCCACTCGAAGTCGAAGGACCAGTAGCTCCATTACTTCCAACAGTATCACCGTAATTAGGAGAGGTCATTTGTGTTGGATTTACAATAGCAACATTACTTTGCACAATAGGCTCCCTTGGAATAGGTTTTACTTCTGCAATTAACTTTGTTCGGTTTGGAGTTGTGGAATGATTGCAAGAATCCCCATTAACTTTTACTTCCAACAAACTGGAATTTGTCGACGTTCCCGGTAATCCATTTAGAACCTGTAAACCTGCTAACGGAATGGGCTGATGTCCATTACCTGCCACATAATTTTGCTTATTACAACAATTTCAGCACTATAGTACTACGTAGTAGTATTTATAGAGTCTTAATAAACCTTTCATTACGAGGTTAGACCAAACATGGGCATGAAGAGATTGGATAACACGCTTGATGCTCGTACTTTCAGGAAAATCATCTTCAAGATCAGATTCATCCGTAATAGCGACCGGGTTCAATTCGACCAGTTCAAACCCATTTTTAACACACCAAGTTTGAGCTAAAAGAAATAAAGTCTGTCAATAAGTGCATTTAACACCGTCTTATATAAACCGAGCTAATGGAGCGACACTTGTCCTTGACATTAATCACATGATGCGATACAACATAAATTTACCATCAAGTTTGCTAACTGCTGTTGCTAGATTCACTTCGTCGGTACAATAGTTACAAAGTAGGATTTTGATCTCAGGGTCCAGCTCTTCAATGAACGTCAACCATTGCTCAGCAACTTTTAAGCCATCACCCTAAAGGGAAAAAATTGACCGTAATTGGATGTTTATTATTCCGTATATTTTAAATTGAAGACTGTTATAAAATCTGTCACAACACAACTTACCAGCTTGCTATCAAATGGTAAAATGAAGGCGTTCACGGCTTCTGCAAATTCCTCCGTTCCAATCGACTTTCTGTCGAGGGAACACACCTGGATATCTGCTTCATAGTATTTCGTGTTGATATGCCACGAATATCCACGAACTTCTGGAAGAATAAGCAACGGTTCTGGAAGCACATCCTCCTCAAGAATACCTTGCAACAACAAAATGTCAAAACATAATGCCCATTTTCATGAGTTAATTATCAAAACTCAAATCATTCATCAAATTGAGCAATCTTGGTCTTGGTACACTACTGGAGTGAAACCCCCAATTTCAAAATCTTACCTTTTATAACTTCTTCCGGTTGAATCTCGCTACTAGAATTAGATATTACGACACACGGAGTCATCTCAATTTTTTAGCGTATTCAAATAATTACGAAATGCTAACTTGACATCTTATATTTACGCCCAAGTAAATTTTACGTATTTTATTATGCTATATTTGATTATTTGATAGTATGTTCTGCTGTCTAATATGATTAAAGTTAGTAAACCCAAACTCGCAGCTGCTACAATGTGATGTGATGAGAAAGTTGAGATTTTCAGCATCATGTTGAGGCTCTTGCCTGATCTCACCTCGGAATATATAAATCGACAGCCGGTTACGGATTATTTTGTCAATTCATTTCTGTAATTCGTGAGACGCCTCTAACCATAAGCCTAAGGGCAGATAATTTGATTATTCACAAAAGGACAAAAAACACCCAAAATTACCTGCAGAGCAAAATGTAAGTAGAAAATATTAATGATGAGTGAATAACTTTTTCATAGATTACTGATATTATGACATTATTGACATTTCATTTTTTTAGATCTACGCAAACAAGAGGTTTTGCAGTCCAAATTGGATTGTACTTCTAGACTAATTTTTCTGTAAATTATTTCCTGCAAAGTGCTAAACACTGGCAACCTCGGTATCAACAATTATTCCTCTGGTAATTCCTTTTGTACATGTACAGACAATTGTTTAAAACAATCTGTTTTCCCAGAGCGTTTCTAAATGTTATTTAATTGTACATTTTTATTTTGTCTTAAAGACCATCCGTGCAATGGCGCAGTCCTTGGCGTCAGTTGAATCAGCCCTAAACTGGTGGTTAAAGCCTAAAGTATTTGGTGAAAGCTGGGACAATATTGGTCTTCTAGTCGGTTCTGGAAAGTTTACCAAAGATGAAAAAATCATAACAGGTATATTGGTATGCAACGATCTTAAACCCGCTGTCGTGGAAGAAGCTATTGCCAACAATGCCAATTTAGTGATATCATATCATCCTCCAATATTTTCTGGCATGAAAAGTATTGCCTACGGGTCATGGAAGGTAGTTTACATATTATATCTAATTGTCGGGAATATTGTGAAAAACTATAAAGTATTATTGTATATCGTGCATTGTGCTAGGAACAAATAATTGCAAAGTGCTTGGCCTACGACATTTCTGTCTATTCGCCTCATACAACTTTGGACGCAGTAGGTGGAGGAATTAACGACGCAGTTATTCAGGCGTTAGGTTGGTACTCTATCTATACATTTGTTTACTGAATCAATAAATAGTTATAATACTTGCTTATTATAGCGGAATTTGGGTCTTCAGACGCACCGTTAAACTCGAAAGCTATTATCCCTTCGCCTATTTTGGACACACCAAAAACAGGGCTTTTATACACCTCTACCTTTGATAATGTGTCAACTCTATGCCGCCTACTATCAGCAAATTCGTATCCGGATGTTGCAATTTCAATTGATACAAATTCCAGCAAAGGAACTGCTAGCGTCAAATTTTATTCTAAATTGGAATCATCTTTAGGAATGTCTGAGATTAAGAAGATTGCTTCAGCTACAGAAATATCTGATTTCAGGTTTGTTTTATTAGCGGATATTCGTGAATAAATGAAACTATGAAACACAGCATACATATATTGCTGATTTTTTTGTGTAGCAACCCTAACGAAGCACCTCCTCTCGCTTTCGGTGCTGGACGATTTGTATCCTTTGCCAAACCGATTGATTTCGATAGAGTGGTTAAAGCCATTAAACTTGGATTGCAATTGGACTATGTGCAAGTAGCTTTTGCCGGAAGTAAGTGAAACTTTCGTATAAAAATGGCATTTCGGATACAAGAGAATTAATTAATTGTGTGTAGAGTCTGAGGTCAACACAGTTGCAGTGTGTGTTGGATCGGGAGGTTCATTGTTAAAAGATGTTGCTGCCGATATGTTTATCACTGGAGAAATGAGCCATCATGCCATAGTAAGCTACTTTCACCACTACTTTTATGTAGAACCCGTAAACTGACTGACTTGGATATTGTTTTGTTTTACATATTGTTATAGTTAAAGCTTTAGTACAACTATTTCTAAAATAATTTACAGCTGGATTCTACCTTCGGAGGAACATCTGTAATTTTGTGTAATCATTGCACTTCTGAAAGGCATTATTTACCACAGTTGGCATCCATTGTTAAACTGTTGACGAACATCGACCACGTTATCGTTTCACGACAAGACAGCAGCCCTCTTTCACTTTCCAACTAAATTATGTATTCCACAGGCTGACATCAGTAATAAGTTTTAACTTTGCATTAATTTATCTTGAAGTTTCTCAATTTTCATTTGAATTATAATGTTGAATTATATACCTATTGTACCCTGTGGTTATCTGCCTTGTGTGTGCAGTTGTGATAATTTTTTTTCGTATATCGACATGTATAATTTTTTTGAATGTCAAATCAGAATATTTTAATCGAATCAACTTAATTTCTGTTTTGCCTTGATTTTGATCTTCATGCTAATTGGTGCAAGATGGTGCAACGATATAATTATTCGATTAACAATATGAATTCAAATCACGGTCTGCCATCTGTATCGCATTTCATACGAAAAGAATAAATTTTCCATGATGCAAAGATTTCTAGCCCTATTTTTGTTAACCACATTGTCATCAATGACAAAATTGATCAATTGGGCAGTCATTATCAAGCGTCATCATATACATATATCTATATATACCGAGTTAAATAATTCGATAATTCAATCAAATAACCTGAGTTCAAGATGCAGCGCTTTTTCATAGCGAGCATTTTAGTTATCGGAGTTTTGGTCGGAGGTGTGGTCTCAAAGCCGCACCACGAGCAGGAGGAGGTTAGGTTTCACAAATATGCTTTCATAATGCATTTTTCCTGTATTAAGTATACGACCTTCGTTTTCAGACTGATGAACAAGTCCCAAGCGAAATTTCCTTTACTGGATACGATGTAGCTGGCGACCCCAACAGCAAATTTTTCTTTCGTAAGAGAAATATTTAAATGCCAATGATGCACGCATATACGTATGTCTTTGATTTTTACGAGTCAAAGATATACAAGTCTGTGCAATCAAATTATTTTGCAGCTTTTCGACCATTCTGGATTCCACTTCCTTGGTTGGATAATAGTTTTGGAAACAACAATGGCGGTGGTGGAAGTGGGGGTGGGGGTGGGAGCGGTGGTGGGGGTGGGAGCGGTGGCGGTGGTGGAAGTGGGGGTGGTAATGGTGCAGGAGGTGGTGGGGGTGACGATACTGCTGGGGGCGACGATACTGCTGGGGGTGACGATACTGCTGGGGGCGACGATACTGCTGGGGGTGACGATACTGCTGGGGGTGACGATACTGCTGGAGGTGACGATACCGCTGGGGGCGACGATACCGCTGGGGGCGACGAACCACCTCCAGACGAATAAAATATTTTTCGAATAATTGTGAAGGACTTTCACTGAAAGTATTAATAAAGCACAGAATATAAAATACTCTTATCTCAACTTGCCTCACTAATACCCGGACTTACTTTGCACAGCATTCTTGCTCAAGACGTTGTTTCAAAAATCATAATATTATGATTCTGATTCTATCAGAATTAATGTCATTAAATTATATAATTGATTTTCAACTATTAATTGTTCTGTTTGACTATTTCAAAATTAAGCCAACTTGGCGTTCATATTTAGAGTCGAAATGAATTGTTCGTGTTATACGAAGGAGAGAAAAAGTAAGTTGTAAGGAGTAAAGAGTAAATTCATGCAGATTTTTCGTAATTTCCAATTATTGGCGAAATTATAAATTTTCGACAGTAAATAAAATTATATTTTTCCGCAGTGAGCAAACAAATGTAGTATCGTCTAATAAATACAGCGATAGGTGAGTTTCACAAGAAAATGCATCTCAAAAATCGAAAATTAATCTTTAGAAAATTTATTGTGCATAATGTATTTGAATTTAATTCTAGAAAATAATTGATCATTGACTGCCAGAAATTTTCAAAAAACAGAATACTGGAGAAAGTCTGGTTGGAACAATGGAGAGCGCCCGTACTCTGGATAATTTAATTTCAAGTCCTAATTCTTTCAAAGACGTCACAAGTAGAATAACCGAGTCGATTCATATAAGTCATCTACAATTGGTTAACAGAGATGGAATATCGTCGAATAACCTTGAAGAATCGGACGTCAAGCTAAACGAGTTGATCTCAGTAAAACAAGAACTGGACGTTGTAGACTTTCCAGGTATAAATTGAATTATTTAAATAAAACACGAATAACATAGGTCATGGCCTATTAGCCAGAGATCCTGATGAATATTTTACAAGTGACATTAATACTTTGTATTTTGCATCACTTCTTCCATATATATAATTAGTATGTACAATTTAAGATATCTAATGTGCTCATTCACCGAAGCACCTTTATTCAGCGTTTTTTGATCAACCATTCAACAATTCAAGTCAACGGTCTAGTTTTACGCGAGTTATAACAATACCAATGCATGCCGGTTCCATAAGCTATAGCTTGGGCTAAAAATAGAATTGTACCAACGGTAACTTTGTACGTTTATTTGTAGACGAAATGGATGACGACAATTTTATCGGTGGCGAAATATATCCCGATACGGATGGAGAAAGTATCGTTCGGCGTGAGCAACCCGGTATGGAAAAACTTACTAGAATGGACACCTTGCGTTGCGCAAACTGTGATTTATTGCTAAAAATTGAAGAATTGGGCAACTGCAACAACTTCCATCAAATAATCTCACTGGAGAGTAATGTTGAAGATGAAAGTTTAGTGGACATTGAATTAATTGATGCGATATCAGATATTTTTAATATTAGACGGTCATGCGATTCATATAAGGAAATATACAAACGAGATGATCTTTACTTATGTGCCGAGTGTTCAACAATACTAGTTAAACTATATCAACTTTACCACGATTTTAAGTTGTTAGCTGTGAAATCGAATGCTTTTCTGATAACACTTATTTCGAACGATAAATATGAATGTTCAATTAGCCAAAAAAATGTAAATGTGAAACCCAACTGTGATTCATTCAGTTCTGCCGAACAACGCATTCGCAAAAGTGGAAGAACAAAGAACTCGTTACAAAAGTTACAGCGTTCATCATCATCCGAAAAAGAAGTAGAAACAACGGACAATGAAGTCAATGATTTCGATGAGTTGCCAGAATTGTCATATTCTCATAATCCAATGCAGGAAAGAAGCAAAATGCGTGACTCGAGTGAATCTAAATCTAAAATGCCACAAAATGCAAAGAAAAATAATTATAAGAAGCTACTTCCAAGATGTGATGACTGCAACATTTCATTTAAATTTTCCATCCAGTTGGTTAACCATTTAAGATCACACGCTCACAAGTCTTCTTTGAACCAAGGTATGTAGTTCCTACATACATTTAAACAGTTAATATTTGAACTGTTATTATTTGGCCGTTTAATAATCGCATTTACGATTTACTTACTATCGTTAACAATAATAGCATCCGAGTCTGGAAACATGACCTCCACTGTCACATCAGAACAACTTAAAAAACAACCCTTCTGTTGCCCGCAGCCAGATTGTAAAAAAAGTTTCGCCCAAAGAAAATCCTTGCAATGTCACATGAAAAGTCATTGGGATGACTCAGCTGGAGAATGTGACCGGTGTGGAAAGAAATTCAAAACTTTGGGTGGACTAAAAATTCATTGTGAGTTCAGTAGTAAATATTATTGCATACATGCGTCAATGGAGAGAGTAAATGGGAGTATTATATATTTATTCCTGTTGATTTTATTCTTGATTTCAGTTGCTTCACATGTAAGAGATGATCAAAAGAAAAGTTGTAAAATGTGTGGGAAGAAGTTTCGAAAACAAGAAGCATTGGAAATGCATATAAAAATTGACCATGCTGGATATAAACCACATCGCTGTCCCCACCCAACTTGCGAGAAAACGTTTCGATTAAAAGACAAACTAAAGTTACACCTCATGGTAATGCATGAGAAAAAGCGTCCACATCCTTGTGCCAAATGTGAAAAATCATACAGAACGAAATACCATTTAAAAATCCATGATGTATCCCAACACCAACAACAAGGCGGAGATGCATCAATAGGATGTAGTCAGTGTAAACGTAAATTTTTTACCAGGCAAGCTTTAGAGAAACACGTTCTAATTCACGATCAAGAAAAGCCGTATATTTGTGACGCGTGTGGGAAAGGTAAGAGCTTGATACGTTTGTTATGATGTCTTCATATGTTCAATCTATATAGACCTACATATATAAAAGCACTTATTACTTATATACATATTGTGTAATATTTTATATATAATGATACCCAGACACAATTTATGTTATAGGATTTCAAACTGCTGCCAGACTCAGACTTCATGAGAAAAGTCACCAAAAAGTGCCCTCCTGTTTGTGTTCAGTATGTGGTAGGTCGTATAAACACATTCGCGATTTACGACTTCACGAGGTTATTCATCAAGATGAGAGCACGTATCGGTTCGGATGTGGAGACTGTTCCCGAAGATTTTATCGTATTGATCTGCTTCGGGTTCATCAATCAAATGAGAAACATTTTTCTACTGAAACCGTTGGGCCGACAATGTCTAAAGTACTGACCAACAAGGAACCCGACGTTGTAGCAGTACATGACTCTGTGATGGATGATGACGATGACGACGATGATGAAAATGAAACTGATACTGAAACAGCACCACCTCTACCTCCACCCAATCGAAAGAAAAAATTGAAACCTATAAAGGGAGACAAAGCTATGCATTTTCTATCCCCCCGTACGAAAAACATGACGCTCGCTCAACCAAATCACACCACTACTACAGTTATATATCACCCATCAAGAAGCGTGGTACAGTTACAACTAGAGCAGCCAAATGTCTCGAGCGCATCCGGATTAAAGAACAATGGTGCAACATTTCTATCGTCGTCATCTCTACCTTACATTTCACATTGCCAACCACAACATCACACTAACGAAGTATTAGCATCAACCAGCTATCTTATTGCACAAAGGGACCAGCAAAATATTCTTCACCATCCGGCCATTCAGATTCAAGCATCACAAATTCAGTTTGGAAATCAAACTGTATATGCATCCCAGCCTGTCAATATACCAAACATTACTACTGAATCGGCAGGGTTTGACTTTATCAATTCTTTCAATCTAGGATGAATGATCTTAATAATTAGAATAACATAGAAATATTTTTCTACAAGTTCTGTTTTTACTCACTTCTATGTTCAGAAAGACCAATTTGTTTATTAAAAACCCAAAGGGAAAATGCTTTTAAAACGTAAAATAAAAATGTTTGGGTAAAATGTGATAATCGTGTAAAATGTAAAATGTTTTGCAATATACCAATAAATATTTTTCATTTTCATTGTAAAATAAAGTGTCCAATTTGATTCTTGATAACATGCAATAAGTGCATGCCACAATCGATTCATTCTGTTCTTCCAGTCAAGAAATTGTATTTTGTTCATACAACTCGAGTGAAATGAATCAAATTATCTTTCACCTTCCATAGACTTTTGTGCTGGACATACAGCTCTGTATACACATATCTATAGGATACTGGACCAGGTTTCATTCATTACAGGAATAAATAGAATTAGGATGGATGAATATATTTTCTGCATAAGGTTGACAACTATTGCCAAAAGACATTGCTTTTCATGCAGTCCTCATGTGTTACATGATATGTATTTTGTTCCCCGTTGGAAAAAGGCCACTAGTTTTAGGTTAACATAAAATTGATGAGTCAGTAACTTTTCAGCGACCAATGCTTAATAAAATTAACACAAAGACTGAAGGACGTCTAATTACCAATCTTAAGACCTGACTGTGTAACTTGAAGCTTTGTCTGGCTTATAAGAATTCTGGACCTAATTATTCCAAGTATGCTAAATTGATCTATTCATGGATAAATGATTATGTGCACAGCTCACAATAAACTAGAAATTATTGCTTCAAACGAATTTTCTGAGTTGTCATACGCTGTACAATTCGTCCTCGTCATATTTACATAGTCTTTCAACTTGAAGTACTAGATATAAATAAATTCCAGCAACTCACAGAAACGAAGTTCATTGAGATGCGATATCCGAAAGAATTTAAAAGCATTGATTCGTTCGAAAGTTATCGTGCTGACAGACGGACACATCGATCGCAATAACATACGCTTCACTTCCTCCCGCTAGTTAGTAAATAAATAAATACTGTCACAATTCAAATTACTTCGAAGTTGAGAGAAAGCTTTTCGAGTGGGAGTGAATATCAAATCAGTGGATATCAAATTAAGTACGCATCGATTTTAAAGATTAGCATATTCCCATTTCATCTGCTTGCATACAATAGGATTTTCTCGCAATGTAACCACAAAAGTTGTAGATCTACAACTTTTGCATCTATGCAAATTGTTCGAAGTTGATTGCACAAAAACAATGATTATCTAGGCTCATTGTGCAGACAACTTTAAAATGAAGCCTTTATTGGTGACAATGTACATAAGCCTTCTGGCCGAAAAGGCATTCGAATTACTATTAAATATTATACGAGGCTGCTTTCACTTTAAATCGATGTCTGGTTCAGATGTTACTATACGGCCAACAAAAATGGCGACAAAGCCATACCACATTATCAACTGAGCATATTTTAAGAGACATCTAAGTACGTTATAAACTCAAACTGCATAAATCTTCTTGAAACATTATGTCAAGCTACCGTGGGCGGTGGGACACTGAGATTGTATCGGACGAGGAAATTATAATTGAGTTATCAGTAATTCTCTACATATTTATATTAGAGTTACTAACCACGGTTAACTGAAACCCTTTCTATAGCGCGGCGCTCATAACGAACAGCCAAGTTAAAATTAATTGAAACAATTTTTTTTAAATTGAATCAATTAATTTGTCGCAGCGTGTTCAATTCTATTCAATTCTACCAATGCAATGATAAATTGTCAAGCATGTTTAGAATGATAAAGTGTCAAATAATATTGGTTATTAACGACACTTATCGTGCGTGTAATCAAATCATTTGCGGGACCAAATTCAAGGCTACCAGTATATAGTTTAGCCTAAACTCACTGGTAACAAGTGATTAAGCATATTACACGTATGCATGCAAAGTAATGGAAGAGAATACTGTCAAAAAGTTGAAAAGGTATCCGTATTCTAGAAATTATTGGGTTCTGCACTTATAAAAATATTTATTTATATTGTGTCCAGCAGAATGGACTTGGAGGCTGAAGCCTTGATAGCCCAACAGGGTTCGATTGCTGCCGGCGATTTTGTCCGACAAAACGTAGCCAACAATTCAAGCCGACCCCAGTACAAAGACCTACCTGACATTGACGAGGACGCGGAATATTGGAAGTACATCATGCGCCGAGAGATGCAAGAGGTCATCCCAGGCCTCTATTTGGGTCCTTATGCTGCGGCGTCTAAATCGAAATTGTCTCATTTGAAGGAATGCGGAATAACGCATATTGTTTGCATTCGACATTTGGTTGAACGCAATGTGATTCGTCCGATGCACGATGGACACTTTGTCTACTTGGTTCTGGAAATGGGGGAAGACAGCAACGTCTCCCTAATTCCCTACTGCAACCGTGTAATCAAATTCATTGACGGGTACATAAATATGTCAGTTACGCTGTTGCAATATTATATTTTACACAACATTAAATTTTGTCCACTATTTCGATTTCCAGTTGCTTTGAAGCTGGAGGAAAGATTTTGATTCACTCAAACTCAGGTATAAATAGGTCGGCAGCTTTGGTTGCGGGGTATATTATGGCCACGTACGGCGTTAGTGTCCGAAAAGCCCTCGCATTTGTACAGAAGAAGCGATTTGCGGCGAATCCCAACGGCTGGTTCATTGAGCAATTGAAGGTATTTTGCATTTTTGTATTTTTACTGATTTACGATATACAACATGTGGGTTTTATCATCCCTTGCGTATTTTGGATATTGTCAATCAGTGAACTTGGTGACTATATTTGTCTTCCTCAGGAGTATGAAGCAGTTTGTCAAGCTATGCATGTGGAACACCCACTTCCTCAAGATGGTGAAACGTCAAGACCACCAGCACGAAAGCGAAAAATGGTTGATATTTCTGACGACAATGTCAAATTTGATGACAATGGAAACGTCGACATGAATTAGTAACGAGTATTTGTATCACGGTCAACTATTGTTACAAATCATTAACATATCCTAAATTATTTTACATTGAAAATTTCTACCTTGTCAAACCTGTCTCCAAAATAAAATAGTCCTCAGTACATTGTAATTAATTGTCAATGTGGATTCTAATTTCATTTTTCTCTACTAAGAAATGTGCCCGCCTTATCTTTTCAGGCCATTGTCATGTGTGACTAATTACTGATGATACAATAGTCATTTCTTAAATTTCTTTAAATTCAGGTTTTGATTTAGAATGCATGTAACACACAATTATTTATAAAGCATTTTCTCTTGTAACGTATAGTAAATATAACTATTATCGGTATGACATCGCCATACATATATACATGCATATGATTGAAAAGGGTTTGTCAATTTTCGGAAATATTAAAGGGTTCAAAAAAGCCTCGAGATCTGAAAATCATGTTCTGGATGGTGCACGCATGGTTGTAATTGCTGAATGCGAATCATTATGAAGTGAGACGACGAGTTTTCAACCATCAAGTGACCATTATTTCGAAAACGAGAAAAAGTAAAGAAATCCCGAGGTTCTGCCTAAATTCCCCGCATGACGACATATTTACGATATACGATCCTTTATAACGAGGAGCTTATTTTTCCAGCTTTTCAACTGCAAACATGTAAAGCTTCCTTGCCGTCTAACTTTTTTACAGGTTTACTTCTGGGATCAAGTTCTTTTAAATTAAAATCTCAAGCCGGCTCGACTTCCATTTTAGCTGTCAGACTTTTCAGGTCCTCTTTTGTTCGTTTTCCTATATAATCTGCTAGAGTTTCCGGCATCCGGAGGAGCTTGTGGCGTGGCATTAGTGAGATTCTTAACCTTTAGGATCCCATTTCAAAATTGTTGTCACGAAAAATCGTATCACTAAGTCCCTAATTAATCTTCAATTAAATGCCCTTTAAGGCCCAAATAATTGTCAGCTATCTGTCCTCACGCACCCAAGCTGCTGAATCTTTTTCGACCACACTGACCCGAATTTTATTTTCAAGAAAAAACCAACGGAATATATTTGTATTATCACATGCAATGATAATCCACAAAAACTACTTCCCATATACATATACTATTACCGTGGTGAAAAACCTATTAGTACAGCTTCGCATAGCCCGAACCAGAAATTTTTATCCCAGTGAGGCCTTATGTATTTGCCATGTCTGTCTTTCGGTCCACCGATACCATACACCCAAAACGGTTTGCCTTCAAATTTTGCAGGTGCCAAAAATAATCGAGTTCGCAAGTGAGCCAAATCTGTCGAGTGAGGTCATATAGATAGGTGGGTGGAATCGACACCAAACTTGAAAATATCGCTAGAAAGCTGAAATTCAGCACATTGAGTGCTAATGGCGTGTAATGAAAGACTCGGAGGGGAAATTTAAAAATATTTAACCAGAGGGACAATATGGGGTGGAGGAGGGAGATGACCCATACCGATTTTCAAAAATAGCCACAAACCTACATTGTCTGCAATTATACAATGTCCTTAGTCAAGGACGGACCGCTCCTAAATTTTTGTCCGAATTGACCGGACTGCGATTACCACACCCCGTGTTGGGAATGGTCGAATGTGTGCAGAATATTTGTTATTTTGTGGAGTATTTACAAATCCTTCCTTGACTACCAGGACCACTGTGACTTGCTTCTTTCAAATCTTCCAAAGTTTTATTTGCTATTCAGAAGTCATTTTTAGCCCCTATCCCAAATTCCAGCTGAAAATAGCAACTTTTAAAAACCAGTATGGGTCACCCTCTAGAGTCACTAAGGTTACACATTGACCACTTTGAACTTCATATACTTTCATGAGAACCCATTCAGTATCCCTATGCCGATTTTTATATTTTTACGACAATGTCTTAAAACCGGCATGGGTCACCCATAGGGTCCCCTCGGTAAGATTTTGCAATTTTACTTCATATTCTTTCAATAGAAGCCATTAGCAAGCTCTATACCAAATTTCAGCTTTCTATGACAATTTTGAAATTTTAGTGTATAGTACCCCATCCACTCAGACGACCCCCACCGGTCAACCACTTGACCAATTTCCCCCATCTGCGAACTCGTTTCTAACTTTGTCCAATTTGCATATACTAAAAATTTCATGTGAATCGGGTCAGTCGTTTTGGCTCTAGCCTGTTCACGGACAGACAGACAGACGGACAACCATCACGATTCCATAAGCCCTAACTCGGGCGCCATATCAAAACCCTTCAATTTCATGCAATGTTTCCACGGTCGCCAAATTTGTAATTTTTTGAAAATACACGTATTTGTGTATACGGGATTCAACGCATTTTGTCGCGTATTCATGATATTCATGTATCTGGGACACAGGGTCAAATTTCAAAATTCCATGACATTCGTGGACTTGGGATTTGTGGGATGTTTTACAAATTCCATGACACTCGTGTACATGGGATTTAAGTGCAAATTTAATAAATTCCATGACATTCGTGGACTGGGATCCTAAAGGTTAATGGTCTATTCTTCTGTTAGAGGCTTCTACAGCACCATTTTGCAGTTTCCCTTTCATTTTAATAACGAGGGACGGAGTTAACTTGGTCGTTTTGGTTCATCAGATCATTTCATATCTAATGATGATATTATTTGTTTGGACATGTCAGTATGAAATGTGAAATCACTTCACTCTTAAGGACTTCCAGCTACTAACTTTCGATAAGAATAATTATTAGAGTCGAGTCGATTATGTATGTAGATTATTAGTAGGATTTTGTAGCAGTGACCTATTGGCACATTTGCTAGGGACTCGTTGTGGTTGTATTTTATTATACATCATATATACTTATATCATCTGAATTCATAGTTTACACGAATTATCATAAAGTATTAAACCAATGAAAATGTAAATGTTGTTTTTCAGAGATGCCAGTTTTCAATTACTCATTTTAATTTGTATGATGAAATTGAATATAAATACAGATTATACAGTTTATGATGCTATTTTGCCTGTGTATTTGATTGGGTAATGAAAACCATGCCGTGCTATTTCACATTAAACAATACACACGTGGGTGCTTACTCATTAGATAATTACCTCTAGTAATAAATGCATGTGAAATGCTAATCAATAATGTCCATGTCACAATTAGTCGAAACCTCCCAAGTTCCTGCATCCATGTACATATTTCCTGCCGCAATTAATTAATTGAATGTCGTGTTTTTTGGTTAGTATGTTGTTCTATTAATACTTATGCCTACCTCCCAAAGTAACAAATAAAAATAATGAAAAACAAAAATATATAATTCAACGTATAATTCAAGAGAATATTACATTTCTAGCTTTCCTACTTTTCTTGAAGTGCGATTACAAATTGTAATTTACAATGCATGCAATCAAGTTATCATCAGGATAGTAATCAGATAGGATAATACATAAACAAATTCAGGCACGGTAGCATATCAACCTGTGGCAAGCGTTAGCTTTTAGGAACTCAGAACTTCACCCACAAACATCTCTCAAAGCTTGATGTTCCGTTGGGAATGTGAGACGTTTCCAAAACTGTGGTGTTGGTCGTGGTGAGAAACGGATGAAGTTGGGTTTGTTCGTGGTCGCTCATATAAAGGGGCACATAAAAACCCGGAAATCTTCAGTGAGTTTCCGTGCTCAGAAGGAAGAGAAAGTGCAACGCATTCGAGTCTCATTTTCCAATTAAATACAATGACAGAGTTTACATCATCACACAGCGTCATCCGTCAAATATTTACATCACAAACTCGAACAAGTTCCATCCCAAATATTTGAAATAGGATTTAATGAACGGCTCAAGATTTTCATTTGTGTCCAAATGTAGACAATATTAAGTAATTTTATAATATCTACTTAACATGTAAAACCAGTGTAAGTAGTAGAATAGAAGTTACAACATTACAAAGGTAAGGAGCACGGAAATTCACAAAAGATCGGCAAGTAAGGAAACTGTTTTCTGTGGTCGCTTGTAAATAAGAACATATTACCCTGTTACCCTACAATAAATATCCTTATGAATGCATATAAAGCAAGTTCATCATTTTGGGGCGAAATGTCATTTCGCTTTTAGACATTTAATCCTAGTTCAGAACAGCCCTAACAAACTAGACAAGCTCAACTTACTGATTATAATTATATTAGATATATTTTTTTCTGGTCCTGATCAATCGTAGTGTTTGGACATTATGACAACATTCACTGCATTCACTTTCGTCGTCTTCTTGTCTCATTTCCATTGATATCATTAATACTCATCTTGCGTAACTCTTTATGTATTATGTATATCCAACTCCATGAGCGCCGTGGTGTGCACTCAATATTGAAATGGAATCTTGAGTTTGAGATCAAAGATATGTAGATTACGGATGTGAGTAAATTACTTATTTCATAAAAAGCGAATCGTTCTTGGATATTAAAATGTAAGTTTGATTAACAACATTTCAAACGAGTGTTGGATAAATTATGGATGTGCACCATGTCTTTGAGACTTTCAGTTTGTCACATTGCAAAAAAATGAGAGTATCTCAATCACTAGCATTCCAACTAATCTAATTTCTGATAATATTAGGAAGTCTTGATCAATCAGTATTGCTGCATAGCATAATATGCTATTATGCATAGCCAGTGTCACCAGCTAAGCAAGGAAGGAGATCTACTAGATATAGGAATTTTGTATATTTATTGTGTATGGTAGGTAAATATGTTCAATAATAAAATAAATGTAAAATTCAATTTATATATTATTTTATGAAATCTTGAAAAACTTTTAAACAACATGTACCATCTTATTCTGCGCAAATTGAACAAAGTCGGATCTGCTTCTGGAATATTAATTCAGGTCATTTATCAATCATGACCGACGGCGGGCTTTAATTATAATAAATCAAATTGAAATAATTTGTCAAGAACAGAACGCGAGTTTGTATGCATGAAAATGAAAAGAGAAAGACTGAATTTAGTTCTCCTATCTGTGACCACCACAGAGCTGTATAATATAGAATATATTATACTCTATATCATACATGGTGACCACAGTGAAAATTTAAATGGATAAAACCAGTGTCGGTGAGCATATTCATAAAGCTGCGAATTAACTTGGGTGGTGCACACATGTTTCCTTCGTAAGTGCTCTATATCCTGTTCAGATGCAAAATGAGATTATGATAAGCTGCGGGTAGTGTCATCTGCTTGCATTGTGTAACTGATGGGTCAGAATTTTGTTTCATAAATTGGAGGAAACGAGGGTTGGCACGAACAGCGTGTCAAAGATGGTGGATCGCAATGAGACTTCAAGGATTATTCCCATAAAGGATTGAGCTTAATCATGCATAAATCCCAAGCCTACATTATTCTTCTTTCGTTTGCCGAAAATGTGTCAGGGATCAGCTTAAATACTAAATTGCCGACCATTCGGCAATACTCATTGGTCGTGTAATATCTCTACCTTTTCCTCCTCTTTGAATACAGACGTATCAAGATTGAGAATTTCGTGAAGTTGTTACTGTTCGGCAAATACTCATAAATTCCGTCGGGATTGTTTTTTTCTGGTCCAAGTGTGAGGGCCTGAAAATGTAACAGCTTTGAAAGCAATTTATACTCGAAACAGCTCTTCACTCTGCTGCTGTACTATGGAAGAATATGTACTTACATACATACTGAGGGCTACGACATACATATTCGGTACGAATTTTAGGTTTCTGAAAGTGGTTTCACCCTTGCAGTGTGATATGGTAAATATTACACTATCTTCGAATGCGCCATTTGTAGTGCATAAACCCTGACGGGTTTGATGGGGTCGTCGGAATACTGAGCAAGCAAGTGTATGTACTTGACAAATAATGTCAAACAGTTTGGTTGGTCTAGTGTTGTGATTGTGGCTTTCACTTTTTTGCGTCATAGGTGTGCCCAGAAAACATTTATTTATGTGCCCAAAGTTATTTTATCATTCAAACTGGACATAACGCGATAAAATGTTCATGAGTTAATTTTATATAAATAAATATTTGTATGTAGGTACGATCTGCTTTGAAAATTTTATGGTATTGTGCATTGACTCTCACCACTTTTAATTATAGAATAGAAGAGTGCGAGTTCCGGAGCTAAAGATAAACCTATTTTACCACGTATGATCCTGTCTATAACCACAATTAATTACATAGTTTAATTAATTTAACATTGCTCTTAACAATCCACAACCGTCAATCAGTGCAACCTCATGATCCTCTCATCAACCCCCTGCAATTTTCAATTTCAAGTCTCAGTATCGGTCACAAATTAATCAGAATTTGAGTAACCCTTGAAACTAATTATGTACCGTATAACATTCTAGTGAAATATAGCGTATATATTTACGTAAGTGTTTTTAGCCACTAATAAAACGAGCAATAGCGACCTCAATGATTGATTTGTAAAATTATCTGGGTATGCAGAACTAGCTTACAAATTTTTTATCTCACAACGAATTTTGAAAACTGGAGTAAAAGGATAAGGCTAATTTTCAAACAATGTATATGAATCGTGAAGACAAATTTGATCGAATTGGAGGAGAAATTAACCTGACAGAGAACAATGCCTCGCCAAATTGGTCATAACAAAGCCTTTGTGCGAGTAACCAGTGTTATTACTAAAATTAGTGTAAAAGCAAACGAGCAAATAATGAATAGAATTTTGTAACTGACAGTTTGATGGAGATTGTGGAGTTAATTCATTTTTCGCTCACACGTAGATGATTACTTTTTATCTTAAAATAAGAGAGTGTTCCATTCGGTAATTCTCAATTTTTACTGAAGTTAATATCTCAAGTCTCATTTCCATAATTGACAAGGTTTCGTGTCACCATTAACTATCAAAGTCGGAGGAGCATTGCATGGTCCGACATTTTTTTGGTATGCACGTGGGAATGTCCGTTTGCAAGAATATTCAATATTTGCCTCCGTTAAATGTTTCGAAACACTCAATTCAATTCTGCAGTTGTACTCTGTAGTCAGACGCCTTGCAAGTTAAGCAACATGAAAAACCGTTGCCAGATTATCATTACGGTGTTTGCTTATCTATCCAGCTCGGCTTAACCAACATCTGTCACAGACGACGGTTACAAAACCATTCAATTATGAACTACCCACTGGATGATAGACAACACAATCCTAGACCTCTCTTACGGCTTCCCTCATTCGAATCCCTTTGTTCTTTAGAATGAGCCAACTTTAATTACTGTGGGGTATACTATTCATAGCTGATACATAATTGAACCCTTCTCCGTTGGCTGCAAAGTCCTCTCCAACATGATGATGGACAACAAGTATAAATCATGTCGTCCCCTTAATCTCTCTTGTGTGGATTAAAGTGCCAATTATACCCATCCGTGGAGTGTTGCCTTATTTACTACTATTCCAAGCGACTAAGTTTATACCCAGAATATGTGCACATCGAAAGAAAGTGGGCTGCTCAACTGCAATCAGGCTCTTTGCTCTGTGTAAATAGGGAGGACAAATAAAATGTAATGTGACAATCGAGAATTTCAAATAATCCCATCATCACCATTGGGTTAATTTATTTCTAGGAAATTGGAAATTGGAAACTCGCTCGAACCCTTCGAAAAACATGCAAATCTCATTTCGCAATGCATACGATACACGGTTTGGTAAAGCCGAATTAGACAGATTTACAACATTATTTCATAGCCTAAGCTTCACATGAACCTTTGCGAAATAGATATGAGGCCCTGTGTACAGTACACGATGATGTGAACTATCTACGTAGGAACACATTTACGTACATACACTGAACATTTAATGACCATACGTACATATATTTATCATTTTATGAATGACTTCATTTTCTTGTGACAAGAACAGGCATTTAATTTTTACACTAAATATTTTATTTGTTCTTTCTTTGGACTGAATTAGATTTTATAGCAAAATTCAGGCTATAATCCTGGTTATGAGATTCTTGTTCACAAACAAAAATTGCTTTCTTTAGACTGCTCTGCTTCTTTCTCTTTTTCCTTAGGTAGCTGAACATGAACTACTTGACCCTCAAAACGAGCATGTTTAGTTAGGAAACCCAGAATTATATTGTACGGTTAGTGTGTCCTTGATCTTCCGTATATCAATTGTGGCATGTATATCTGCGTCAATATGAACTGATTTCAATTATTTTGCCATTTCGTGTCTAGATCTTTGAAATAAGCACTAATCAGGCCTAGATATAAGTTTAATACGTGTGTATGCCAAATGCTGCACATTTATCATTGTTTTTATTTTTTCCTGTCATCATCTCCAGCTAAGGATGAGAATAAGTATGCGGAGGGATTACAGCCTGGCAATGGAAAGGTACAGACGCATCAAAAATTAATATCTGTGTGACGACTCAGCGATGGACATGGTGACATCTCAGAACCACTCTACTTCTCGTGTCAAAAATCACTTCAGTGGACAGAGAGACCAAGTGTCAACTTGTTCCCAAACTTATACGATCATCAGAGTTTATGTCCTCTCTCCAATTCTACTTGGTTTCGTTGAGGTTGCTTGTATCTTGTGTGGAGATATAACATAACATAAAATTTCCTTCAACCACGGATACACACAAGCCGGCAGTGCGGAAGTGTAGGGATAAAAGGGAAACTGAAATGCGTTAGTAAATGTAATGGAATAAGTTGGTCAAATACTTGAACTTGTGTCGTTGGATGGACCCTGAGTAGTTTAGTAAAAAAGAAAAAAAGTTATCGTGATGTTTCATCTCAAGTTTTACAGTGAGAAAGAACAACAAACGCAACAATAAATTTTTCTTTAAGGCCAAGTCGTGAATGTGCTATGAGAGATACCAGCAGCAGGTTCACCAGAATCTATTCACATCCAACAGCAGACAATGTTTCCAACAACAATGGTTTGTGAATCTTGTTTCTGGAGAGATAAAAGTGAGAAGCTGTGGGCAGCAGAGTAGGGAAAAGTCTCAACTTTTCCCCGAGAAGAAGACAAATGGTTTCACTCTGGACGATATTGATGGCACTCTTTGGGTCGATGCTAAATGCGAGGTGAGCTGAAATGAAAAGAAGAATTAACAACAATATCTTTTAGGAAGAAAACCTCTTGGCTTCCTCTCAAAATGATATCATGATCAATGATGACTGCTGCTGTGTTGCAGGGTAACAAATGGCAGGCCGGGGCAATGGGAAGATTTGGAGAATCGTGCCTCTGAGGTCATGCGGATTAATGGTCCATTGGGGCGGATTAGCGGCCGTGGAAATGCCAACAACCTTTCCAGTGATTTGATGCAAGTTAACACGACGACCCCAGAGGAGGAGGAGCAGCAGGGTGAGATGGACAGTGGCGAGTGCAAACTTTCTGAGACTGTGGGCAGAATTAATGCTCTGGAGAGGTCCACGGTTCATGTAAAGTGCACTGAGGTGGTTAATTTGACTATCAGCCTTGAACAGATCCCTCAAAGTCTCGTAAGTTGTTGCGTATACATATTTTCTGTGTGCGGATGCATGAAGAAATGCTAAGCGAATGCTTGGTACATACATATTTATCACTTTCATCACTTTCATCCTCTCAATATTACGTATATTGTGCTCTATTCTACTTTGTTCTGCTATGGATGTTATAATGAATAGAAAATTTGTCCAATTCAAAGAGCAAGTGCGTTGATTAAATCTCATGCTTTGTCTGTCTTTGATTTACTACTTTACTCATTTTAGATGACGAAAATAACTTCAATATCTGTGACCAAGAGCATTGTGAACACGGTTAACTTGACTCAATTTCACAAATTCCCAGCACTAAGAAATCTATCAGTAACAAAATCCAACGTCTCCTTTGTTGTTGGCAGTGTCCCTTTCTCTCTTAGAAGTCTAAACTTATCTCACAATAATATACGATCCGTGGACACATCCTGGTTCTCACACACACGAGATGCAACCAAACTGTACAAATTGCAAAAAAGCACTCCTACTCAACCACTGCAAAGCAATTTGGATCCGGAGCAAAGCCATGTCACCGCAACTTCTGATTACTTGTCTCCCAAACCAAGAACAAAATTTCCTCATAACAATAATTACAACTCAAACAACAATAAGGGAAGAAAAAGTTGGACCCGGTTACCCAAAGACATTGCGACTCTTTCAAGTGGTGAAAGCGGTGTGGATCATTTAGATGACGACTGGGATGCTCCTTTCGACGCAGGTGGTGGTAGCAGTCCCATTCCCATTCGCGATACAAATTACTTTGAGACAACCTCACGACTCCAAGTAATTGATGTATCTCACAACAAGATTACGCAGTTGCCAAAGTCAATTTTTTATCTCAGAAGACTGGAATCTCTTCATCTCTCCGGTAAGTGAATAAATGGGATTGCATTTCGTGCTTGGTTATCACTGTTAGTTTGGAGCTGAAGCGGACGATATATATCTTCAGCTCCTATTTCTACAAAGAACTCTACTCTATTTGCATACGTATGTATTTTGTATAGCTTAAGGAATCCAGATCAGATTTATTTCGCACTTTCGCCATGCTGCAGACATTATCTGTCATCATGTCCAATCCAAGTCTGCTGCCAATTCCCAGTTCACCTATTTATTTCTAATGCTGGTCGAGATGCGCAGGGATTTGCCTGTCAGCCACTGTATTGCTGTTTCATAAGACGGATGCTTCGCTGTGAGACTTCCGTTTTGGGGAGGGTAATTTGTTCCTGGCTAATCTGGTCATCAACGATTTCCATCTCTTTGTCATCCCCTCGTCCCAACAGGCCCCATATGTAATCTGGGCGAATGATTGATTGATTGATTGATTGATTTATTTCAATGAGGCACCCCATTGCATGGGACTTTACACCTCAAGGATAAAAGAAAGTCATACATTATACAATTTTCATTTTGCTTGTACATACATATAAAACAATGATGATTACATCATAGAAAAACAATCTTGATATTCAAACGAGTCGAATAATTCGAATAATTCCATAACTCTTTTTGTATTCTGGACATTTAAAAAGTACTTCTTCACCTCTTTTTTGAACCTAGTTAGACTCATCTTTTCATGCTCATTTCTTAAATTTAATGGTAGATTAGACCAAGACAGTGCTGCCCTATATTTGAAGGACTTTTTGGCAATATTATTACTAATTGACATATAAGGCTTGTAGTAAGTATTATTACGAGTATTTCTACATATAACCGTATTTATTGGTACATAATTGGCAAAATATTTGGGGCAGCTCCCATTTAGCATTTTAAACACATGTTTACACAACTCAGCCTGCACGATATTTTCCGATTCTAACCATTCCAAGACGACTGATAAGTCATCAGATATAGGGTCATACTTCCCTTTATTAAATACATATCTTGCACATTTTCTGATTACCTTATTTACACACTTTAAATTATTCTTACCAAACAGCCATACAGGGGATGCGTATAACAGACTAGAGAATACCAATGCATGTATTAATAGTACCTTGTTCTTGCGTTCCACGACATTTTTAAGGGGACCAATTGACCAAAGAGAGCTGTTACAACCCTTTATCACCTTATCACATTGATTATTGAACTTTAGATCTTCATCCAATAATACCCCCAATAATTTTGTACAAGTAACCCTTCGGATAGGTGTGTCATTAATTTTTATAACAATATCTGATACAGCAGATTTTAATTTACGGGGGGCAAATACAATAAATTCACATTTATTTACATTCAGTTCTTGCCTGTTTGCTTCTATCCAACGCATACTCCTATCCAGATCATTATTCAGATTATTTACAACTTGTTCTATATGATCAATATCACCAGAAATTAACACACCACTGTCATCGGCAAACATAACACATAAACTGTTTTTTAAATGGTACGGCAGGTCGTTCATCATTATCAAGAACAGAATACAACTAATACATAACCCTTGAGAAAAGCCTAGATTAGTAGGACGCGTGCTAGACTTTTTAGTACAATTATTGCAGGAGATACATACGAATTGTTGCCTATTTTCTAGAAATGACCTCACAAGTTTAGAATCAACTCCATACCATTTTAGTTTGTGTAGTAGAACCTCTTTGCAGGCCTTATCGTAGGCCTTCGCAACATCCAGCGCCACCATAATACATACATGATCATTCTCCCATGCTTTGTATACAAAATCAGTGACCGCTATTAAGGCATGCGTGGTGGAATGGAACTTGCGGAAGCCGAACTGGAATTCTGACAATAAATTATTAGATTCAAGATAAGTAGAGAGTTGGTTGAATATACATTTACCAAATAGTTTAGTTAGTATAGGTTGGATTGCTATCGGTCTAAGCTCATTTGGCGATACTGGGTTTTTTACCTTTGGTATTGGAATCACCTTAGCTAATTTCAACATACTCGGTACACTTTCCTCATTAATATACATGTTAAATAATTTCATGAATAATAAATGGAGAAATAATAATAATGATGATTAAATAATAATGAATGAACCTGACTTAATAAGCCTGTTCCTGTATATGACTCATGACTTTCAGACTCTTCAAATCCCCTTAGACTTTTATTCCTTCTTTTGCAATCTCGTATTTTTCTCTTATTTTTCTTAAACAAGAAATATGCACATGTACACAATGATAATACTTTGCTTCCTTCAAATTGAATATACAAGCAAAATTGTTTATTAATTTAGGGAATCATTTGAAGTGTGAATTTGTGTGGGAGAGGCTGTGGAAATGGACGGAAATGCGGATCAGGTCCAAATCAGTACTATCTGATGCCGAAACCACGTTTTGTGGAGTTGACGACGCTCGGGTATTTCAGTACAGCATTCAAGGAGTACTTCAAGCACGGAAGGTATCACAAAAACATGAACCCAATCCAATAATCCACTTCAAGTTGAGAAAATCTAAACTCAAAAATATACTTAATTACGTTGTGGACGGTAGACCTGACCAAGTAACACAAAGCTTTGGCAAGATTTCAATCTGTATGGTTAGATAGGAATCAACCAAGTACTTAAACCACATCATTGCAGTGTCAGACACTGCAATTTTTCGAAAGTTTGGACCCTGTGTACAGTGGCTTTAATTTTATGGTTCAACGTTGCAACACTTTCTGCCAAATCCAGTTCATTTTCTAGCCGTCGAGTTTTTTTTATTCCCAAATAAGTTCTTAAATTTAATGTTCAGTTAAAGAAACAGACAGCCCGAGAACCCGCATTTATCTGACTTCATTCTTGATCATTAGTTTGGCTTCAAATAAAATAAAGAATGATGGAATGAGATTTACTTGGTTTACTTGTAACCTTGCAGGCTTTTGAGAAAACTTGTGCCACGGTGAACAAATCCATGTGTTCCTCTTGTAGCTTGTACGCCTTGCAAAAAAAGGAAGGCCATCATCATACCTCAGACGATTCTAAAGGAATTGAAAAAAATTCACATGATGTTGGGAAAACTTGGTCATCTCAACAAGAGAATAGTGCAGGAATCTCGATCTCATTAAAGCTGGATTGTTCTTCCAAAAATTTGACAGAAGTTCCTCCAGTTCCACCACAAACTTGGCAGCTCAACATTTCCAACAATCGAATAAAGTATTTATTAAATAGATTATTATTCTGAAAAAATGAGGTCTGGTCAATACAGAATTAATTTCTTACTTTCTTGCTTTTAGAGATTTGAGCCCCTTGAAACTTGCCATGTATTCGAATCTCCTCATTTTAGATGGGGCCAGTAATCAAGTCAACTTAGAAACATTGGCAGGAACCCCCTTTATCGATAAGTACAATTATCTTAATCTAAAAAACAATGGATTCAGCACAGTGAGTTAACTTTCATGATTTTAATGTGCATTTAATTTAATTTGGAATCAGCGATTTCAATCTTAATCTCATTTTCCCCATTCGCCCTTTTTCGCCAGATCCCGACATACATACTCACGTCCCTCAATACTATACGAGGCCAAGGAGTCACCTTCTTTGGTGGAAACTATATCGAATGTGATTGTAACTCTGTAAAGGAGATAAAAGTAAGACGATCCTAAATATGTAGCTAAAGTTAGAGTAAGACTTTCACCGGGCAAGATGAGACTTAATTGGAAATTAAAACTTGTCTCATTTTAGCCACTACTTATTGAAAACTCAAAACGAATTCGAGATATGAAGGATATTTTCTGTAAGGACATTAACGTCTCTGATGGGAGTAGAAACACAGTATGTTGCTCTACAAGATACATTTACATGCAAAAACGTGTCTACAAATTTTTTTTTCGTTCAGAGAGTCAAGGATTTGCAATATTCTGATGTTTGTCACATGGATTCTTCAGACTCTGAGTTCACGTCAGAGCTCTATCTGTACGTCATAATTTTTGTGGAAGCTGTTCTCATAATTCTTATCATAGCAAAGGTGTGGATAGACGGAAAGTCATACCGGCAAACTGGGATTCTTCCCTGGTAAAGCATTCCACAATGCATAAATATGTACGCAAGTTTTGTTCAATGTAAATTTGCTGTGAGCGTTGCAGGTGCAGCGCCAAGATGCCGCGACTCCCCTGCGACGCAATGCTCGAGTCTGTCAAGGAGCCTCCGAACCTTGGTCGACAGGGCGGCGGGAGTGCCACCAGCTCCAACGCGAACGTCATTAACACTGCTGGCTCCTCCCAGCATTCTGCTCCTGGGATTCAGCTCAAGGACTTTCGATCCTCTCGAGGGAGAAGTGATGATGGGGGTGCGGCTTCCGTCTGCTCAAACAGGTCCTCGAGGAATTCCATCCAGCAGCCCCATTCATCTTCCAGGAATTTCTCCGTCTAGCATCAGATTACTAACCTGACCTAACCTACATTATACCTACGTTTAGATATGTTTACAGTCCTCAACTCTATGATTTTTTGAGTACGCCTTTGTAACGTACACAAAGAGGCTGAATAAAACTTGGTGCAAGGTTAGAAATACACTTGAGATCCATCCAGATAGAAATTTTAATTTTAAACGCATACACTCAAATACACTGGATCACAATACATTATTCTACAAAATTACATGTAAAAATATATTCTAACGTTTCATCTCCATACAGTAATTGTACAGATGATAGTTTATCCCATAGCTTGATTGATCTCGCTTGTTTAGTGGTTAACGAATCAAATAACATACGTACAAAATTCAAGAGAAGGCGAAACGACCTGGTCTCTCAATCGCTAGTCAATCATCAGTATTCAACAGATTCGTGGTATAATTAATGTACTGTAATTTGCAAGTCTTCTATAAAATCTACATACAATATGGTATGCTGATTCGGTGCTAAACGTTGATTGTACGATTGTAATTGTACATGTAGCTCTATGATTACGATATAGCATTTGAAGCACAAAATCAACACTGGATTGAGAGCTGAGGAAAGAGTTTTTCGGAATATAGGAAACTGTTTCAGTTATCAAAATGAGACAACATACGTTTGTTATTGACTTGACTTGCCCTTAGTCAAAAATTTTGATTCCAAAATCTAGACTTGTTTATATTTATTTAATTATGTTTACTGATATAATAATGTCAACGATTGCTAAATATCTTCTGAAAATAAATACTTTGCAAGGACTGTGCAACGGAATTTATTTACAAGTTTTTTTTTTTGAAAATTTAATCGGTGTACATTTAAAACCTACACATATTTATACATACACATACATGCATATTATTCTCATTTATTTTATTGTAGTAGATCATGAAGAATAAATATGATTGCTAAATTTGGATTGCAAGTTGCATCATTTTATAATGTTAGGCAGGGCTGCTATAATTTTGACATGGCATTGCTTTTCTTTCTCTGAACATGGTCAAGAGTTATGTCGTGAACATCAGCAACCCCTGCATCACAAACCAACATATTGCACTATTTTATATTCCTACTTGTGAAAATTTTTAGTACCAGATAAAGCCATAGTCAAGTCAAGCTCCTCTCGCAGAATCTCTAAAACTCGTTTCGCACCATTTTCACCGCACACAGCGATTCCCCAAATTGTCGGTCTTCCAACAAACACCTTTATATAATTTGCATAATAAGATACATACACAAATGAGGACACATCTCAAACTGCACAACTAGTAAAATTTAATAAAATTAAAATTGCCATCCAATTATGTATGTAAATACCATGTCCGCCCCCAATGCCAGAGCTTTAAAGACATCGGAACCTCGTCTGATCCCACTATCCACATACACCTCACACTTTCCTCCTACTGCTTGTACTACGTCAGGAAGAGCGTCAATCTGTTTCGGATTAACCGAAAGCTTAGAATACTCGAAGTGCAAAATTAATAAATTCACTGTTTACGGAAGGGATTGCAGTATCAATCTGTCGACCGCCATGATTTGACACCCAAACGCCAGCAACATTGTGTTGTACTGCAAGTGCAGCATCCTGTGGGTTTAGAATTCCCTTCAGGATGACGGGCAGATTTGTGTTACTAAATGAAACAAGGCCAGCGTAATTGTGTTGATAAAAATTTTCCAAGTTCAAATCTTGTTAGGAACCTTCGAATCCAAGAAATTGTGTCCCATGTCATATCTTGAGCCAGGGTTGAATGCACAAATTCTCCAATGTCTTCAGCAGATTTATCGCTAGTTTGATACTTTTCAAAATTTGCCATTCTAAAAAACCAGGAAAAAGTAATTTTATGTTGTTTTCGTTTTCACTGTTTTGAGTTTTATACGAGAGTTTAAAACTAATAACTGTTATCTACTTCAGATTTTCTGGAAGTTTAAATGGCTCTCTCATGATATCTCTCTTTTTTCCAAAGTTCTGTGCATCTAGTGTGATCACAATTGCTTCAAATCCAGCGTTTTCAGCTCGTGTGATCAAATCTAAGGTTATCTTTCTAAAATTAATGCAGCACATTACATAAACCAGTCAGATTGAAATATGCACATGTGTATACACTGATGCATACTTTTCTGTATTTGGAAATAGTTGAAACCATTTTCGACCTCCAGGAGCTGCATTTCCAACATCTTCAATACTCCAGTTGGAGAAAGTGCTCAGGACAAATATCGTCCCCGTAGAGGCTGCAGCCTTTGCACTTTCAATTTCAGCTGTAGGGTGCACTAAACTTTGAAAAGCTGTCGGTGCCACTCCCACAGGAAATTGTATACTCTTTCCCAAAATGTTTTTCTTCAGTTTTCTGGTTGACACATCCCTCAGCATACGAGGACGAATTAGTAACCTGAAGGAGCCAAGTTTTTTAGAAACTTAATCACATGTGTCTTAACTTCAAAGCTACATACCTTGAAAACGCTTCACCATTTTTTCGAACCGTGAGTTCATCATCAGCTCCGCTTTTAAAATAGTTTCTCGCATTTTTGTTTAATACATCGAAAGCCTCAGCTTCAAAATCTTTAACACACACTAAGGACTTCATTATTTTCGCTTATTTATCAATTAACCTTTTTTGTAAACCAAGCTGCATTCGTTTACCCTCTTAATGTAGTTGGACCTGCAGCAGTCGGGCAGATACTAACTACCAGTTGACGGTGAAGATAATGTCTTGAGAGAGTCGTCATGTATTAAATACATTCATCATGATTAAATCCTTGAACTTATGCATAGCACGTCACTTATCATTTCAACCTTGAATAAAGTTTTATTACTTGTCCCATTCTGAGAATCTTACTACTACACATTACTCTCTGAGGACTTTGTGAAACTCATATCACTTTATACAATCATGTAATTTCGGAATTCGGCCACATTTAAGTTTATTTCTACAAACTGCAAAAAAACTTTACGCTATTTTAACAATAATAATATGCATCGTCCCACATTGAAAGGAAATTTGAGATAGAATGCAATTACATTTTTGGGGTACTTTTAAAGAAAAAATACAATTAAATAGACAAAATAAAACTAAATTGTACATCGGCATTACTTACTATATTAAATTAACCTTATTGTAATTCATACATTTTACAATTACTTGTACATCATAACAGAACCACTAATTTTTTTCTTATGTTCGTCCTCATCCTTCCACTTATTTCCCAATGCTTCCAATAATTCGCCATAAAAAGCGCAATGGATTACGTTCTTTAACGTGAATAGTAGCAACCAGTCTCCATACGTAGACCGTTTGCAAACAGCTTGGAGGGCAGTAGGTGAAGATCCAAAGTTTTGAATACGCAACAGTAAGTACCGAACGTGAGGGACGTAAATGGTTAGAATGCGATAAATTAATCCAATAATAGAGACAATGGCAAGCATCATAAACCAAAACCTGGAAAGTACAATATATGGGTAAATAGTAGTTTAGTGAAATAGAACAATATAACAAAGAACAAAAGCTTACCAAAGGAAAACAAATATCTTTTCAAACAAACTGTTCAACGGAAGCACACAAATTCCTTCTATTAGCTGTTCATTTCCACTGGGGCCGATCAAGTTGAGAAGACAAGCTGTAACCTTTGGGAAAATTCTTGACATGGGATCTATTCTTGATTCCTGGCTGGCACGGAGGAAACTTATCACTTCAAGTCCATACGTGCTGAATCCTCCGTTAAGTAAATAGTCCGTAAACGTCATTTGTCCAAGAACGTGGAGCAAGTTGAAGATTTCGCAAAAAATATAACGAACTGCCAAACTCGTATGAATAGGAGTGTTGATTTGAGCACAAAAGTAAGCCAGTACTCGATCCTTCTTCAAATTAACCTTATCCGGATCGTCGACAACAATGACGTCCAATTCTTCCATGAAGACCTTGATACGATTTCCGCCCCAATGCTTGTTCCACATCCACCACGGGAGTCTGAAAAGAACGATAGTCAAAGCTAGCCAAGGGTAGATCCAGATGTAGTACGAATGCTGAATGATGTCGTCTTGGCTCGTGATTTGCCCAATTCCAGGATATGGCACCTCTTTACCTATCCAGAGACACCAATAACTATTGAAACCTGCAAATACAAACCCAAATGAAACCCTTGACCGATAGCGTGACTCACCCACAGTTTTGTTAAGATGTCGGACAACGGTGTGTGTCCCTTGAATCCAACAGTATGTGCTGAGAAACTTGTCATCGCAGCCGCACTCTCCGCCTCGATAACATTTCATCGATCCAAAATCACATGATTGGAAACAAACGATAAAAAAAATCAGCAATTTTATGATGTACACTGTAGCTCTTCGATACAAGAAGAAGACAACATTGGAATCCGGATTGTATCGCTTCTTGATCACGAGTACGGTCACACCGGGCTCCAGCCCACCATCCATATTGAACTAACAAAATAGAATTATTATACTAAACCTAAACAGTTAATTACCAAATGGCAAGAAAAAAGCTGTATTCCATTACCTTTTGGTTTGTCCAATAATAAACTCAAGACTCTTGAGTCAAGAGTAGTAAATACAATAACTTATTTGTTAGTTATAGTTATTACACAACTTGATGAAGTATGCAATAACACGACTGCTTTATTGGGATGCCACGTGCTTCAGATAAGTCTAGAGAAACAATAAAATCAAACAACAATATTAATTAAACTCAATCAAGAATAATTAAATTTACAACAATCCTACCAAAAAGAAACAACAACAACGGGTGGAGACAAAATTATTGCTGCCAGCGCCAAATACTACGCCCGCTCAGCAGAGATTGCAACAAACTTCGTAAAGTCGGATTGTAAAGTCGTGTCGAATTATTTTCATTAAATGTAATTAAAGCACATAGACAACGATAATTCGATTCATCCCAAGCACTAAAAAGCTTACACGTGGTTTGGCCTGTTCTTTTCGTTCGCTATGCACATAACGCTATTCTTAGCGGTCTCAACTCGCCTCCTACCAACTCCTGTGTCTGACCCTTGCATCGCAATTGGGCTTCAATGGCATTCCGTTATTCCGGATTTATCTAATTTTTAAAAATTAACACCGACAGATTGATAAATTATTCCGTTATGTTGTCTATATTTTTATATTAATAATTAATACCCATCCATTTTTTTCAAACTTACCAAAAACCTCCTTAGTTGTTAGTGTCACACCAAAACAAAACGATTCAATCTTGTTTTGTTGTTCAATTCTATCTTATTTTGTATTTAATTATTGTATTAATAATCAGTCTGTTCCTTTTTTGTATGAATTTATAATAATTGTTAGACATAAAATTGCATACAATTTTGTTAGAATAAAAATCTTTCTATCAATCGGATTATTTTGAAATCATTTATTTTTACAAACCCATGGAAAACGGGAGATTCGATCTCTGGCAATAATAATATTGATAAAAGAGGAGACAGCCTTCGAATTATTTGATCCCAGTTTACACGTATTTTTGCAAAAATACTAATTTCAAAAAATGTCACGCCCAACAATTTTATTTTGTGGGGTGGTTTTGCTTGGTCTTGTTCCGCTCGTTGTCAGCGTGGGATCCAATGAGCAAGTTTCATCGATTCACTTTTACTCTCATTTTTCATTTTTAGTAATTTCTTGCATGTATAATTCTAATTTAATTGCGTCTTTCAGTATAGAGCAAGGTCTTAGCAAGAACAAGCCCACCACCCACAAGTTTATCAACTATTGCTACAAGGGCTGCAACGAGTCTCTGGACGATGACAGTGAGGAGAAATTATATTTTCAGTAATATTCATCGCTCGTAGTATTTCACAGGTAATGGAATTTAAAATTTATTCTACATCCACAGAGCAATATAATGAGGTAGATTGGGACAAGTACCAGGATTCACATTGTAGTGACAACAATCAGAGCCCTATAAATATTATACCGGCGCAAGTGTGGAACAACGCCAAAATAGAATGGAGGTTATCGCACCATTATTCCGCGTATCACGACAGAGTCGAAGTCATGAATGATGGAATATTGTGTAAGTGAAAAAGGCAACCAATAAACATTTAGCAACTTAATTAGAGAAACATCGTATAATAATTAGCCATGCTTATAAATTTTGATTCATGCGGAGTATCATTTTTTTTAAGTTGTAATCAGAACATCTACTTTGAACGAGGCTATTGTATTCTCTGTGCATTATGGAGAACAGGAAGAAGACGTTGCGGTTTATCTTCTGAACAATGTACATTTTCATGTAAGTGCCAAGTACTTAATAGCTCAGTGATTAAGTCCATATTTGCCAAACTTGGAAGGAACTAAAGTACTTATTTTGATAGTGGGGAGATAACGCATTGACGGGTTCTGAACACGCAATTGACGGAAAAAAGTAAAATGTGATACATTCAATTGTATTAGCGTGCTAATAATTTCATATTTCACTGGTCAAAGATACGCTGCAGAAATTCACTTGGTCCACACTCTAGAAGGAACGACGGACAAAGATTACAAGAATAAGAACAAGGCAGAGAAATTTGACACCATTTTTGCAATCGCAATTTTAGTCGAGGTATACAACTTTGTGCCCATCATTTTCCCAACATTTTTCATAATGCAAGTATTTTCAATTTATTTTACGTATTTTTTTCTGTTCGCAATTATGTAGGAAGGAGAAAGGGATGAAAGCTTTTCTCCAATCGAGGGTATGTTGAATAATAACTTGGATCCTTCATCAGCCACACTTTCCGAGTCTTTCAGTATTTACGCACTGATAAGCAAGCTCTTGAACCAGGGAGACAAAAACGTGTACTACAGCTACCACGGATCTTTATCCGCTCCCTCCTGTGATGAAATAGTGACCTGGGCTGTATTCAAACACCCAATCCAATTATCAAGAAGACAGGTATCTACCTCTTTTTAGCACTTCCAATGTATTAAAAAACGATTGAGATATGCAGACTTTAGCAATTAGTTACCAAAATATTTATAACTTGTTAACAGTTGAATGGATTAAGAACGAAAGTGACGACCAAGTTTAACTCGCCCATGGTCAACAACTTTCGTGGATTGCAAAGTACGAACTCAAGAAATATCACTGCTTACTCCCCAAAAATTGTGATCATTGGTCCTGGAATGCCTGAAGGTGCATCCACACGAGAGATGATGTCGCTGAACTACTACGCCGTCATGTCCATCGTACTTATGCTCATCATATCAAACTTTATTTAGTTGGGGACCCACTAAACCGAAACATGTTTCATGTCTTAATTCATTGTGTATCGATCGATGTGGGCAAGTTATAACCTACTATATATTAAAATTTAACTTTTCTCTGTTGTTGAATGATACCTCTCCATTTGCTCACTTATTTATTTTAATCACAGTATTTTTTACTCTATCTAGTATCTTATTCTCCGGGTACCCTTCCTATAGGAAGCGAGAATTTTTATATTTATGATTTCACATGTATCATTGCATCATTTCATTACACAGTATCTTTGGCAATAGCATGACCTAATTCTAATTAATATGTTCAATCTCACGATTGCTTGACATTTAGTATCTAGGTAACTCTTGTGTCTTTTAACGGTTGCGACAAATGGTGGAGTTACAAATAAAATAATTATTTTTTAAATCGTTGGTACACGTCCCATGGTCGTGTGTACCAACGACTTTGACCTTTAATAACTTTTGAATGGGCAGACATAGAGATTTAATTCGTTAAGATGAAATCATCGTAATTTTTAGCTTGATTTTTTAAGATCAAAATCTCGAGGGTACTATTTCGAAAATTAAATTTGAAATCCCAGTGTGCAGCGTTTGTTTAGCCCGAGTCAGGGTCAGTGTCAGCTTCTAAACTTTAGTCAGACGACCTGCACCAACTACTATTCGTAATCGGCAAAAATGTTCCCACAATCCAGCATGCAAAATTTCAGCTCCTTGACCAATTTTAAAACCAGTACGGGTCTCAGTCTTCTGGGCTGGGCCCACAAAAATATTCATATTCGATGAATATGAACATTATTCATATTCTTTAGTCTGATGTGCCCTTACCCATGATACCGAATTTTATTTTTATTCTACCAATATAAAAAGCAGCGTGGGTCACCTTGTTAAATCTCTGTGGAAAAAATCTTAATATTTAGTTCATATTTTTCAATCTGGTCTACCCCCACGGGGTCGTGCCAAATTTCAGTCTTCTACGAGTGTCTAATTTCATCTTTTTAATACAATTTTTGAAAATCGATATGGGTCACCCCCTTAAAGGTCCCTCCACATAAAAATGGTACCAATTTCAATTCATATTCTTCAGTTAGACACCATTAGCAATCTCAATGCCAGTTTACAGCTTTCAACGAGGATTTTGAAATACTCCACCCACCCAGATGACCACCACAGGTCAACCACTTAATTGATTTCGCCCATCTTCAAACTTAACTCCTCATTTGTCACATACTACATGTATACCAAATTTAAAGTCGCTAGGCCGAGTTTAACGAAAGTTATCGTAAAATGATCGGACGGACAGACAGACGGACATGACGGTTACAAAATTACATTTCCAAAACTGTAACCAATGGCATATTTTCAACAATTTTTAGTTTTCTAAAAATGAAAATTTATTTTGTAACTCGGCCATTTGTCGTAACCTTATAGATTGATAAAGTGTCAAATAATCTTGGTTCAATCTGGTGTCCATGTACATACTGGTGCTGAAACTCATATGAAACTATTAATAAGAGCCTATCAATAAATCAGTAGTGTTATAATTAACACCGGAAATATTATGTAATGAAGGTGTCGATTATAATGGATCTTCCTCTTAACTTTGTCGCCACCCTCATTCTGGGTCTCCTTGTAGTGTACCCTGACGCAACATCAGGTCTAGACATGGAGTCGCGTGAATCTTTACCAACTGAAAGTTGGATAAGCAGTTACATAACTTGGATGAAGACTGATTCCATTCCCCACCATCCAATAACAGCAAAACATTGGAAGATTCATTCTCGATTACGCCGAGCACCCAACGTTGTCGCATCGTCATCCCCACAGCACCCGATCGAAACTGATGGTGGTGGGGTCAGCACCGATATGCAATTTAAACACTCTACGGAATACTTTCCACTTCCTATAACTTCGCCTACTGAAAATCGCCTCGTCGAAAAGTCTACGCTTAAAAACATGCAAGTAACACATACAAATATGTCGTCGACGGGATCTTCAGGCTATTCGGAACTTCCTACGAGTTCTATTCCTAGTCATACCTTAGAACCACAGCAATCAACGCACTTTACATCGATGTCAACACAGGAATCATCATCTGAGCAACAAGAAGAATCACAAACCGAACTTGATAGTTTTACACCCGAATCCGAATCTACCGATGATGCGGAAACGGAGGACATTGAAACCACGCTAACTGACTCTTCTTCTGATACGAATTTAGAAAATTTTGTAAAAAAACTAATGTCAAATCCCAAAGCTGCCGACTTAGATTTGAAATCAACGGATACCAAAGAAATTTTACGGCTTTTAATGAAAAAGCGCCTGCTAGCACAAAAAATGCACGATTATGCCAAAAACATGGATGAAGGTAATGCTCATACCACGCTTATTATTGTGATCCTGATGCCAACCAATTATTCGTCATCAAAATTTTGCCAACATTTCTCCAATAGCGGTTATCGAGAGCTGGGATACTGACAGCTGTCTGATCAATGAGACAAAATTTCCTACTCTGAATTTGATCTCCGACAATGCCGACTTCTTCAGCATGACTTCTGGCCCCACAAATGGTTCACGTGACATCAGAATAAACAAGTTTTATGGCGTGAAAAGAGATCGATTCTATGTTCGAAATAACGGGAATGGAGGTAATATACCTAAACTACTTACAGTAACATATATATGTACCTCTCTCTACTAATAATATACGTAAATGGAGAAATGTGTATGCAAACGTACATATTTATATCCCTGTAATATTTTGTATTTGCATAAAAATTGTAATGGTTCCGTATTAAGCTGATGTTCTTGCAAATTAGTGCTCTCCTTCAAATTCGAGCCTGACGAATTGACCTCTCAAGCTACAATTCGTGGTCCAGGATGGAAGGAGGAGTATATCCTCGCCAAGGGGGACATTTATTGGTAAGTGGTTAGACATTTACTGAGAGAAAGATTATTTAAGTAAGATAAGCATTGGTTTAAGCATATGACAAGGCGTAGAATGGAATGCTCATGATGATCTGAATTTGAGTTATGTGCATAGAATGTTGAAACTAAGCAGTATTTGTATTAGATAAACTATGTACAGAGAAAAAGATCCGGCTTTATTAAAAAATATCAAGAAACAAGCATTACTAAATAGCTCATATAAAAGCCCCTGTAGGAAAAAACAATACACACTATTTATAATAATAATATACATAATGTGTTAAATATTTGTATACCTGGTTAAAATCAATTTTCTATACGTATATACGTGACAATTTTTAGAAATTTGTGGAAAGTATCGATCTGCTCTGAGCTCCTTCTTAACTCTGGAAAAATGAATGAGACGCAAACTACGGGCAAATATAGCCAAAGCTAAATTTAGGATTAGTGGTATGTATTTACCCGAGGCTTGATCATTCGGGTTGTGCATGTTTGCGATAAGATTTGCCTATAAAATCTGTAAACGCGTTTCTACCATGTATGCGTTTCATTTTTCTTTATGTAAATCCCAAAATATAAATATTTATTATAGGTCACTCGATGATAAGCATGGAGCACAACACGCTCTAAACGGCAAAGCTTTTGCATTAGAAATGCAACTGGTTCATTATTTAAAGACTTTGGGGTCACTCGAAAAAGCATCCAAGAACGCAGAGGGAGTTCTAGTGACGAGTATTCTTTTTGAGGCAACTGGAAGACCAAGCCCTCAAATGGAACCACTCGCAAGATCTGCAATGTCGGTCGGATTCCCAAACAAGAGATGGAAACAAGTTCATGGACCGATAGATCTCAAAATGATTTACCCCGTAGACATGTCATACCTCACATACAACGGACCTTATATTCACGAACCTTGTACAAAAAATGCTCTTTGGTTCGTGTTTAAAACACCACTGCCAGTCTCATTCTCACAGGTACAATTATGCATGGAATATTAAAGTGTATTCGTTCAACCTGTTCAGCGTAGTATAAATAATCAAACGAATTTCACAGCTTCAACGATTTCGAGAATTAAGAAAGCACAACTCCCAACGGTGTTCAGGGGTCTTCATACCACTCTCCCGTTCCACAGATAAAAGCAGTGATCGAGCTGTGAAGACTTCCAATGGGCGCGTATACCTAAGCATTGTGCCTCAAGAAACACTGACTAATGGTGGACGTACCAGAATTCCTAACAGCGTAATAAAAATATGCATTGCGGTGATTGTGGTCTTACAGTTTATTTGTATGCAAATCACTTGATGGCTTATCATGTAGGTAACTATACTGAAATGTATTTACGTAAGACGAGTGAATAAATCATGATGTAATCTCATCTCAAGTCACAAATGGTGCATCAATTAATAAGTGTTGAATTGAGTAATAATTGTGCATATAATTTTATTAGAAACAAGAAACAGCAAGGTAAACAGAGTTCAACAGTCAATTGTTTTGTCAAAGTGCAAAAACATTTTGCAGTGAAAGTGCATTATGTTGCATGTGCCATATGTGGTTAACGATTACCAATTATTAATAGGGAACGGGCCTAGTACCCAAACCACCGGCATCCTGTACGCTTTGATAGAAGATCCACTTGCAAGGGTTGACAGGATCGTTTCTCATGAACCATGAGAAATGGTAAGGGGACACTTTCTCAGGGCACGCATAGTAGTATCCTGTGTAAACTCGTTCTCGAAGGGCCCGTTCGTCAACGTATGGTTTTGGAGCTTGGACAGTCACGGCGTTGTAAACATACCAGCGTGGTGGGACATCGAGCTCCGAAGGGAAAGGTGTTCCAGGGTAGTTGCGCACCCAGGCTTCGGGGTCGAAAAGGACGAGTTCTCGATTGCGGTGTCTGTCCATAACTCGGTAGCTGTCCTGCAAGTTTCAAACAATGCCTCGTAGTAAACTTATTATTTTTAGTCAAACACGCATATTTGTACATACGTATGCACATATGCATAAAAATATTAATGCTAATATTCAATTGATTGGTTACCGCTTGGAAATAAATTGTGGGTCTAACTGGAGCAGGAATTTTAGGCGTGGGTTGTTGCTCTGGTTGAACAGCAGGGTTAGCGGTCCTGTAAATTGGTTTACAACAAGGTGGCGGTGCATCAGACGCCGGAACGAATGAGGCTGATTGGTCGTCAGTTCGGAGCCCAAAATTCATCCTGAACCGATCTTCTGGACTTTCAATTTCCTACAAAATGCACTTACATTTAACAATTTTGAGAAAAGGCAAAATCTCAAAATTAGTGAATTACTGGTTGCGGATTTCCATTAAAGCGTTTTCTAAACGCCCCCAATGAGTCAGCGTTGCTTAACCCAACAACAAGGATTCCCACTAATAGAAGATATGTCTTCATTTTTTGAGAGTTATTGGACGAACAGAGATGTGAAGTTATTCCTGATTCTTGGAGAACTGATCTAGAAACTGAAAATCCTGCACCTTTTCATATCGGATAGTTCCTTACATGTTGGGCGACACAAAGTCGTAGAGTCTGCAGGCATGGGAGAAAATTAAGGACATGGAAGAAGATACAATCGCTTCGTAGTTTTCAAATGCAGCAATACTGTAGTTTATCTAAGAATTTAAAGTAAGCAGCTTTCACAAACGGGGAAGAACCTGCAACAAAGGTGAAGTTCAAGGACGCAATGCAATGAAAAGGAAATCAGTCCTACCTTCCATCGTCTATTTATCTTTGTCTGCATCTAGGGCAGTTGCGTAGAATAAGATTCGGATTGAAAAAGGTTGTAATGTACAAGGTCATCCAAGACATATTTACATTCAGAGGCACTTTTCTACCTGAACTATATTTGCATAATCTTTAATTGTAAACTTCTCTGTAAAAAAACATAAAAATCATTTATCTAGTACTTAATTTGCTCGCCCAAAATTTAATGTTTGTTGAATTTACAGGTTGTTCTTCAACGTCACCATCTGTCAATATAGAATTGGAGCCATTATGTTATCCATATCCTCTAATTCCTCAGCCTACACAGGACCCTAAAATCTACGAAACTTTTTAAAGAAAGACATGATAATATGCAGATGAAGAACAACTGAATAGCATATAGATATCTCATCTTGGTCTTGGTGAAGAAATTGTCACAAATTAATTTTATTGCCACACCATAAAACAATCAGATATACATTTTATGTAGTAAACCTATGTGATTATTACCATTAAGATATTTGACCCCGATAAAAAAATCATACATTATTATTATTTGACAGTTGTGACGATCTCGGACGCCTATACGGAACAAGTAGAACATTTATAAAACATAAAGTACAGTTAGTTGATATACTTATGTTTAGAGTAAAAGACACTTGACTTAATATCTAAAGTAACGAAAGGCTCCCTTATTAAGAATTGTGTAGCTTGTTACACGTGGTAATTTGTAAATGACGTTATTACATTTTTACATCGGTCAGAGCGATAGTAGGTGAAAAAATGATGAAAACATAAACAATTGCATTAAATATGTTCTGCATAGGGGTCAGCGTCAGCCATCATCATCTTTTTATGAAAATCAAAATATGATTCCTCATTGGATCATTCGAAGCATAGAAATACGCTGGTCTGGGAGTTCTCATTCATAAATTCTTGACATTTCACCTATGTCCACCATCAAAACAGAAATAAATAGCTTATCTTGTACTGTTGTCTCAGCAGCTTGTCAATTCAAAGATAATATCAAAGTGGTTATCTATACTATAGCTTTGGTGTTAACTAACATAAAGCCTTCCGTCGGTGGGGTTCACATACATTTTTGAAACAATCCTTACTGACATGTATTTTGTTTAAAAAGTGAGTTCAAATTCACACTCACACACCCAGTCTGCAAATTACAGACTGCAATCTACACCGTCTACCTTTATAAATATATCTCAATTTAATTCAAATGTCATACCTCATTAATAACTGGAAATACTGAAATTGTGTTACTTCAGAATAAGGCCATTCATTCTCCCTCTCCCAACAGCAAACAAGTAATAACGTAACACAGGACATCCAAGTCAAAAGCTACAGTTAATCTTTAATCTAATGAATACTTAACAATATGTAATACAACTAACTCTCCCAAATTACTTCGATTATTGTTGTGATGTCATGTCGGTTAATTTTGATCAAAGGAGGTTTGCTTTTACTAAAATTACTAAACATTCATTATTACTAATCAATGCCATCAAATTACATGGCATTAAAAGATTTTTTACGGATTTCAACCTATTAAATTTTTGGATCTTTGTTTGTACAGGTGGCGTTTGCTGGGAAAACGTACATTCCAAATGATAGTATTTTTGTGATTTATTTTGGAATTTTGATAAATGAGGTCAGCAGTGAGCGTAATCCTATCTGGATCGGCGCCTGATCAAAATATGTCCTACCCAGACTATGACCAAACGCCTCATGATCATTCTGCCCTCCTTGTCGTCGTTCGGCACATAGGTACGATTTTGCGTTGCTAATTATATATTATTGCGATTGTATATTATATAAATTTTGTTTGTCAATGTTTTACTTTGTAATTTTGCTTGGCACTATTATTGGTTACAGGGCGTCAACTAAGGACAAAACAGTTTAATAGGGCATTCGAACGTATTTCTCGTGTAAATCAAATTAAATTAAACGATTCTCAAGGAAATCCTCGTCAAATTTGGGTACGATACTTGCGTGGTTATCCTGGAGGTATTATTAACAATTTATTATAATTTATAATGTAGTGTAGTTTCGCCAAAACTATGAATAATTGAGCAGATGCAAAAACATTAGTTTATTTCTTTGGGCAATACTATACGATACTTACATTTCATTCAACAAGTACTATTAAAATAATAATGACAAATAAATACGGCTAGAAATCTAAATAATGAAAAGTTCTTCAACGGATTATAGATATAGATTTGCACATATATCTCGATATTTATACATACATATATATTTATTTATGTATTTATATGATACTTATACTTATTTATTTTTGAAAAAAACAAAAAGAGCAAAATGATTGGAGTGATTTCCAAACTCATCGAAAAGCACTGGGCCTTATATCAGTTGGACAATGCAATTCTCAAGACGAATTTAACGAATTGTGCCGAATTCACGAGCAGGGTAAGTAAACAGTTCAAAAATTCTAATGAAATCTAAATTATTTTCTCCCTTTTGAAATTTGCATTCCTTTTTCATTCAGCCAAAGTGGGATATGCTTTTACTTTATATGATTCGAGATGTATTTTACTTGGGCTAAATCCGGATGGAACACTATACGAAGGTAACCATATTCCGTCTCATTCGTATTGTTAATTTTTCGAGTGCAATCTTTGATATGAAATGGAGGACATGAGAGTTTCAGTGCAAGGACAGAAAATGTGATGTAAACGGTGATCAGAGTGCAAAGCTAGGGAATCAACATCTTGCATTTAGACGAATATTGTATAATTTATGCACTGTAAAACATAAAGAGAACTACACGTTAACGCTAAAGCTATTTTTTACCACTTTTCCTTACGAAGGTTCCCACTCGTCGGACGTTAGTCCTTGTGTTGATGGTGAAGACGATAGAGTTCATCACTCTGTTTCAGTTTTTAACAACAAATCCAAAATTGAAGGATCTGATTCGAACTTTAACGATCCAGCGAGAAACTGTAGCTCTGGCATAGCTTCATCATCCGAAGGGATCGGCACTGGTGCAGAGTCTCTTCCATCAGAAGATAATGCTTCAATGTCTTCCTCCCTGTCCCTGCCCAGTGCCGTAAGCAAATTATTTACATGTTTTACCAGTTAATATTACAAGTATACAAGTTCTGGCTGTGCGTGTATGTTGTTAGGTATGCGGTGACGATACCCGGAAAAGTCCTAGCTCGGATTCTCTTCAGAATTATCTAGCATCCGGTTCAGTTGAAGAAAGTGAGGCAACAGATTCCACCAGTGAAGAAACAACATCCAAAGAGTCCACTAATTCAATTGGGACAGGCATCCCTTACTCCTCAATGAGAGAATCAGAAAATCCAATATTGGGCTTGTCCACGGACCCTGACTCTAGGTCACAGAGTTCAGAAGGAAGAAATTCTTTAATCGCACCTTCAAATTTTAAGGCACGAACATTATTTTACCCAACAATGGACCAGAGTCAAAATCTGGAGACAGACATTCTAGAATTCATTTCCAGTTTATTTTGGGTACTAGAATCCAAAAGGTTGGACAAATTAGCGTAAGTGTTCATACATATTTAGATGGCTTTCAAGTATTATTTGCATCGTTTAATCTGATATGAACTAGAGGAGGCATATGAATTTTTACAAAATGTTTTTTTACTAGGGTCAGAAAAGCGGATAGAACACTTCTCTTGTCATCACTTTGTGCCCCATTTGAGAAAAAAGATTTCGTTGGATTAGATTTGGAATCGTAAGCCATTTACTAAACATTCATTTTGTAGAAATATTGCAAACAGTTAATATTTCCACTCAAGTTATGCAATTAACAACCTACCTTTAGTGTGAATATTGCCCTTCTCAGTGTTTTTTATCTTGTTGCAGACGTTGGAATAAACGAAGAGCTGACGGCAGACTTAAGAAACAACTGGGTGACTTGAGCTTGCAAGCCGGATTGGCGTCAGAATCGATAACTCATTATCAAGCTGCAATTGAAATTCTCAAGTCTGTGAATGACTGGCTTTGGTTGGCTGGTACGCAGTTATCTATTTACTCTGATATCATTACTTTATATACGTTTGTAAATATTTTGAATTTTTAGGTGCATTAGAGGGACTATGTTCAGTATCTGTATGTTGCATGTATCCGCAATTGCGAAAAGCTCTACCTCTTCAGCGCAATTCATCTCTGCAAGGGGCGGATATGGTCAAATATAAAAATCTATCAGGATCATCCTCATCCAGCTCTTTGCCCCCAGGATTAGAACCAGAAAGCCTAAGTGGAATGAGACCTCCGATAAAAAATTGCTTAAGCCCTCAAGATTTGCTAGATAAGTACAGAGAAGCTGTTACGCACTATGGGAAGGTATAGAGAGATCTGCTTAAACATATTCAAATACTTTGAATAATCCAAATGAAATTATTGAATTCTTATTGCAATGATTTTATTAATACTTGTTGATATGTTTATCTAGTATCGTCAAGCTGGAGTTATCGAGACGGAGGCATCAATTAAAGCGTCACTGGTTCTTATTGAACAACGACAAACACTTGCAGGTAAGACTTCACTTGAGAAAAAACACTCATTCATGATTATTTAAAGTAGCAGTATCAGACAACGAGCAGTTAAAATACTTGACATATTTATTTATACATATTTTGCCTCCCGATCTTCTTCCTCAGCAGCGATGATAATAATCTTATATTTATTATTGTCAGGGACTATTGTATAACTACTTCATAGACGCAATTATTATACATAAAATTATAAATAATAACATTGATTTGCACACTTGTTTCCTGGTTCATTTCATTTAATTCTCCCTGACTCTTTATTAATTTTAGCTGCAGAATTTCTACAGGTATTTCACGTCAAATTTCTAAATCAACTAAATTCTAAATTTCTAAATGCTATTCCTAACTGTTATTTATAAGTGAATCAATAAAATTTCAGAATGCAGTTTTTATTAGTCTGCAGCTCACAGAGGATGAAAAGGTATGCATGTATATTTATATACAGCTTAGGTATGTATGCATGTATGTAGACCTCTAATTGGTATTTATTGTTATTAATATTTATAGATGCATCGATTTAATGCACTTGCGGAACTCTATACAAGACTGGGATTTCATAGAAAAGCCGCCTTTTTTAAACGGGTCGCAGCAATGCGATGTGTATCACCTCATAATCCTCATCCGAACTGGGCTCTTTGCCATTCTTTACTACTTCAACAAGGTACTATGTTTTCCACAATTTAATAAAATGGAATTACTGTAGATAATCGATCTACTAATATATTGATTAATCGTTAATTTTGATGGGTATACGGCTTTTGTGTCCTGTGGCGATGACTATAATCAAATGTATTGTTGCAATATTTCATTAAAGTGCGTATATCTCTTTGTATATTTCAGAAGGGTACAAAATTTCTTTAAATCCCAGTGAAAACTCCATTTTTGGGTTTTATGGATGGCCACGGCTACAAATGCAAGTTATGCAAGAGCTGGTTGGCACAGCCAAGCGCAAAGGAAATAGTGCCTTGGCTACTAAGCATATGACTTTACTGGTTCACACGATGCTTCCACATGTAAGTACTATGCATAGTCTTTTATAAAATGGAATCAAAATGACGAAAATGACAAATTGATGACTTTTCACAACACTAGATGACAAGAGATGAAAGACGGGATTTTTCACAGCAGCTGGAAATACTTTCGAAAGAGGCGGAAGGACTCCCAGTGCCACTTGCAATAGAAAATGGAGTGATAATTCCACCTGTGAATCTCACCCTTATACCCTACGTTAAGTAAGAGATTAAATTTGTATATTAAATATTCATTCATTAATCACCTGAAGGTGGTGGAAAATTAATTATAATACACTAATATTGGTAGACTTTTCAAACTAATTGCTCCAACACCTCACTTGAAGCCTCAAAAAATTGTGGAAAGGAAGCCCACGGATGAAATCAGTCCATTCGTGTACACTCCATTCAATCGTGACAAAACTGTCAAAGATATTACAAAAGCTGGTAATAGAAGTTATGCATATGTACTATGGTTTGAGTGAAAATCGTATATAAGCAACGAGAAATAACAGAATTGGTATGCCTAAATTTATAGATTTCAACTGGGTCGAAGGTGAATTATGTGAAGTTAATGTGATTCTTGAGAATCCTCTACCGGTGGAGTTGAAAGTTTCGTCAATGGTAAGTAAATTACGGCTCCACGACCAATCCGTTGTTGGCGAAAGCATTATAATAAATTTAAATCCAACTATTGCTATGTTGCTTGAGTAGACCGAACTTATAATAAATATTTATGTAATGTTTGGTTATCCTTGTAGTGCTTAATAACCGAGGGGGTAAAATTTCATGTAAATTCTAATGTAATCTCTGTTCCTGCGGAATCTTCAATGTTCCCTGCAACTCTTACTGGGAAGCCTTTGGAACCGGGGATTTTAAGGATAATTGGTAAATAAATAAGTACGAAAATAAATAAATTGTTCAGTCATTATAATTACTCTCAACTAAATTATAGGCTATTCAACCTATACTCTTGGTGTTAAGTCAAATATTCGACTCAAAAGTTTACAGAATATGCCATTCCCATATGTTGACATAGAAGTAGATCCTGCACTTCCAGCGATTGAGGTATGTAATAATTCGTTAAATACGTTTCTGTGTTATTCTATTTCGGGTGTATTCTAAGTGACTAAATATATATATAATTTTCATAGATTCAAACATCCAAGGCGAAGTCAGATTGCTTCAGCTCTTTATCAGATTCCATTGTTACTAGTGCTAGTATTTCTATGCTCATGGGCGAAAACCAAGAATGTACCGTGACGATAGCCAATGTTGGGAAAGTACCAATCGAATTGCTTGAGTTGACACTGGACGTGCAGGGAGACAAACGGGCATTTGAAATCTTCAAGTGGAGTGACGAAAACATTGTCTCTCAACTACCCATACAACCTGGTGCGAATGCAAGCTTTACAATTTACGTCTATGGAGCGGGCGAATTTATTGGACAACCAGACTGTCATTCCGGAGACAGCAGTAGTGTTTCCTCACTTCCAATGACAAGTAATGCCTCAGATGGACCTAGTTCCCTGCCTTCTAGACTTGGTGCTATTTCTGATCGTTTAAGGTCGAAGAGGACGGAATCCTCGGCATCTAATAGGTAATAATATTATAAGAGGAGCATTATTCTTTTGTTTACCATATTTTTAAACGAATTTGTAATTCATAATTTTGGTTCATTGGATTAGATCCAGTGTCAAAAGTTTTATGAGCAGTAATATCTCGGTGGCGTCAAATAAAAATCCTAAGTTGCCCATTTCTTCTCAAACAAAGGTGAGAAAATAATTTGATAAACATTTAAATCAGCCATCGTCAGTGATATTCTATCTAAACATATTTGCATATTTTCAAGAATTACGAAGCGGTGTTAAAACTAAAATATTCTGGAGGACCTGGCCATCAAACCGGACATTTTAGAACTTGTGGGATTGCACTAAATGTGGAAGTATCCCCTGCTGTTTTTATTACAAAATGGGATACTTTGCCTGGAGATTCGTAAGTCTATCCTTATTTCAAATTATTTGCATGTTGTTTTTGTATTGCATTTTCTAATTATTGTAATAATAATTTCCGACCTATGTAGGCCCTCACAATTCTATCTTGTTCTTGACGTGTGTAATGTTACTCAACATGAAATGGAGATTCACTATGCTAAAACAAAGCAAATTCTTGTCGAAAAAGGAGATACTTGCAGAATTCCCGTACCATTGGATAGATGTTCATTAACTAATGTAGAAAAGGGTACTTATTGTGGGACACAGAACTATTTACTTGAACTATATATTTCAAAATAGACATAAAACATTGTATGGTTCTAGGTAAAGAGGAGTTTGCTTGCTGCGAACACATTGTCACAAACGTGGACTTAAAGTGGATACTTCCTGAGTCCTCAGGAAAGGCAACACTGCATGGAATCACTCTTACCCAGGCGATGGTCCAACTTGTAACCGTGTCTCCTATTCAATGGGGTATTTGAACTACCAATGAATGATGGAAAATAAACTGCCTTCCTAAATAGTCTCTTTGTACACTTTTTTAAACAGAAATAACCGTTAATGGTGAAAGCGTTAAACCAGAAGAAATGAGGTTTGAAGCTGGAGAGATGATTAATGTCAACGTCTGGTTGCGAAATCATTTAAAAGAATCCCTTGAAGACTTGAACCTGTCTCTAGATTGCTTCCAAGATTATCAAAATGGCAGAATTAATAATCGTCTTGACTCTAGATTTGCCGTGATTGGAAACGATTCCGTGCTAATACCAAAGGTGATGTGTAACTATTTTCAATTTCTAGTTATTTATTAAACAACTATTCAAATGTCAATATTTAATTTTTTTTAGATTGGGCCGGGAAGTTCTTTTCAACATTCATTATCTTTAATATTTTTTGTGGGTGGGATGTACAAGATTGACTTTAAATGCAACAAAAAAGACCTCGAGGATCTAGAGTATAAATATAATCCTCCATTAGATTTAATGATTCAATGATTTATTATTATTAATTATATGTGCGGTTAAGTAACAATCATCATGTTTTTACGATTGGTGAAGAGAACAGAGGGAAGCAAACAGTAACGTTGACGCATACATGTCACAAATAAAGAAGCAATTTGTTTAAATTAACAAATAAACCTCTTATCCGAAAGAATTATTCAACTCTTTATTCCTGAGAATGTATTTTCATGCAGAATGGCAGCACTTCTCTTTGTCTCCACGATTTGGAAATGCCCCAAAGCATGATGGGAAGATGGGATCTACCCGGGATGGGGAACATCCCGCGTTTTCATGCCACTGCTGCCTGCCTGCTTGCCTGCAGCTCATCCAAGTTGTTTTTTGACATCCATAGTTCGGAAATTAATTATTGAAGAAAAATAATTGTAAATTTGGTAAAACGCCTGTGTCAGATTGCAGGTAATGGGTATTCTTTAGCATATAAAGACACGAGAAGGCAAATGCGAAGGGTAAAAGTTTTTAGTTGAAATTTAAATGCCCAGTGTTATTAGTAGTGACTGGGCTGCCTACTTGTTTGCTCGTAAATGGTTTCATTTTTTTATCTTTGCGCATTACAGGTGGTCGACGCCATACAGTTTGGTGCTCTGGTAGTTAACTGCAGACTAAAGATAAGACTGAAAACGACTTCACTTCTTTTGTTTATTTCACTTGCGGATTGGAGTGATTGTTGTTCATATCAAAGAAAGAAGGTAAGTATGTAAAATCACAATGTGCTATAATAGATCGGTTAGTTAATTGTGTTTGATAATTATATTGCGTGGTGGTTTTAAGTGGTGGTTTTCTATCCCACTAGATCTGCCACTGCCACAAAATAATCAAAACAGAAACCACAATACAACGCGCAGGTCGAAATGAAGAAGAAACACTACATTGTCATAATCTTAGATGTCAACTCCATTCCTCGCGAGTCCCCAAGGTACGAAAACAATGATATTGAGACTGAACACGACGGAAGAGTGGATGACGATGACGATCAGGTCCCCACCACTCCTGGGAGAGAATTCAATAAGTCTTCTGCCATTCCGTACAAATATGGGATGATCAAGTCTATAAAGGATACGGTTCTTACACTTTTGGCTAAGGAGGCGCTGCAATACCATACTGAAACATTCGACTTTTCTCAAGTCTTCTGGTCCATCAAGTTGTACAATTCTTCCTACGAAATCAACTCCAAGACTGGGAGATCTTTCCAACCCCTTGGAATGGAATCTATTGAGGCATTCGAGAAACAACTTGAAAGCTTCCTCGATATGGGGTCACAGTCAGCAAAAAAGTCAAATCCAGACATCAATCAGATTCAGTTCTTGTCTACTTCACTGAAAAGTGTTTTGGGGGACTTGCCTTGGCCTGAGCCAAGTTCTGGCCTTGATGGAAGAACTGGTTAGAATTTTTTTCTTTTATAAAATAATGATTCATTAAATAATCGTAATAAATTAATACTACATTATATATATAATCTAAAGGGTAGTATTTTGCTAATAGGAAGTGAAAATCGTAACGTAATTCACGCCATGTTTCGAGTCCCAAAAGGCGAGATAGAGGTTCAGCATTTCGTCCCCAACTGGACCCCTGCGGCCGGCTCAAAAAGCATTATGAATGAACTTCTCCCGAAAGCTTTCTGTAGGAAGATGAAGGAACATCAAATACAATTGCATTTTTTGGATCTTGAACCAGCATTTCAATCTGGTGACGTCAGCGGAGCAAACTTCCAGGATTCCGAAAATTCTAAACCCATGGTCAAAATCGCCACCTTCCTTGGGGGAACAGTTGCACAATTTACAGAAATTAGTCGAGGAGTTCCGATAGGAATGCCGTCCTACGCTGATTTACTCAAACTCTTGATTGCTGAAAACACACATCACTCTGCTTCAGATGGTTTGAATATTTCAAGAACAAGGACGCTACAGGATGAGGCTCAAAAGACCATTCGAAAACTACAAGGTAGTATGAATGGAAGTGTGGTCAATAGGGTTTCTCCTGTTACAGCAGACGATGCGGATGGCGACTCGGTGACTCGGTCTCATGGAATACGAATTCCTACTCCATCCTATGCTCTAGCTAATCATCTCAGACGCAGTTTTCCTGATATGCTAATCCAACATAGAATACCAACTAACGCTGATGATCGTCGCTGGATCGAACATACAAGAGTTAGTAATGTTCGAAGATTTTCTGATGAAAGGGATCAGTTGAGTAGTCGAACTAACAATAGGATGTCAGTACCCCTCCTTCATGACCAAATTCCGAAAAAACGCAAATACGAATTTGAAGAAGACATGGAATCAGAAGAAGGTTATTCTCCACTTGACATTGAAAATTGGTGTATGGGAAAGGCAGCTGTTGAGAAAGAGAAACATCAACCATTACGAAGGCCCATTAATAAAGACATTAGAGGCCCAAGCTCAAGTTTCAATCAGAAACGCTTGAAGCATCCTGTTGTTACGAAATACAGGTCACCGAAAATTACTCAACCACAAAAAAGAATTCGAAGAGAACGAACGGAGCAACAAGAAATCATGGCACCTCCAATTAGACACTACCGTCACATGACTAACAATAGCGCCATCGCTTCAGCCAAACAGCATCGATATTCCGATCCTACGTCTACAACTTCGTACACGTCTAGAATCGTCGAACACAATGATTCGTCGACGTTCCTCCGAACTCGAGGTCATGCCATGGTTGATGAGGGACTGAAGAAGAAATTATCCACTACCAAATCCAAACAGAAAGCTGTGCCTGATGAAGACACTAGTTTCAGTCCCAAAATTAACTTTTGGCAAGAAAATGAGAGGATTTTAAGTTCTTATAAAAATCGCTTTCAAATGCTGATGCAACAGCAGCGAGTCAATGCTCGTGATGAGGATCCAATTGAGGATTTGGCCGTGAAAGTGAAATGGTGTGTGGAAATGGTGATTGGAGAAGAAGATTGTTGTCTACCCTCGCTCGCTCAAGTTGTCGTTACCACAGTTGGTGCCAAACTTGTGGAACTCAAAGTTAGAGACTTGAGGGACCTTATGGAAAAAATTCTATTTGTACCATATACCGAGTTGAATTTGGAAGTTATCAGGCACATGCATACGGACAATGAAGACGCTGTATTTCGAAAATGTTTCCTTCAAGTATTTATCAATTTTGAGATGGTTTGGACAGTGCCTACGAAAAATATGGCAACACTTGAAGAGCAGTTTATTGAGGACGTGTCAAAAATTTTGGGTTTGGTCCGAGTGTATAGGAACAATCCTCCAATTGAAAAATTCGTAAATGATGTGCTCGTACCATTGTATGTGGTCTATTTTTTCCATTATCATCACTTTCGTATTTATTTTTTAGTATCACTTTAGTGAATTATTTATTTGAACTTTCTAGATATCGACCCACTCATGGTCGCCTCCTGCGCGAAATCACATCGGCGTTGAACATTCGACAGTCAAATATGTTGAATACCTCTTTCGATTCCCCCAGATCTGGTGGATCTGGTTGCCGAGATGACGTCAGCGTTTCTTCATTCAGTTCTTCAATGTGTGGACCTGATGATTCAACATCGCAGCATCCAAACGATACCTCATTCAGTCAGCAATCACATTCTCAACATATGAATCAAAGTCAGCATTCTATAAGGTAATTAATCTGATTCGTCGCAAATTTTTTATGTAATTTAATACCTGATAGTAGGAGTACTTATTATACGGATTAATTAATTGTGTTAAATTTTAGAACTTCTCTTCGAAGCGCTAGTTTCCACGCGAATAACCCTAAACGGGCACTCATGTTACCCATTGCAAAACTACCTGCTAAACCAAAAAATTTTCAAAAATCTCAAAGTCAGTCAACCCAATCAGGTTAAAGGCTTATTTATGTATTATTATAGATGAAACAATGCGGCACGTGTATACTTTTTTTTATATCTTACTAATGTATACTTATGTATATATCTCATTCAATCTTAGGCTCTTTGAGACCTACGACAAGAAGTCCAAAACCAAAAAAAGTGCGGAGGAACCTGTTTGATGTACAAGCAAGTCGAGATCCAAAAGACATGAAAATGTTGTTAAATCTGGCAACCAGCAATACTTCTTCGTTTTCACGGTCGCCTTCTCTATTTAAGTCGCCAATGTCGAAACATACTTCATGTTCTCCACGTTCACCGGGTCGTCCCTCTCCGTTTTTCGCTGCAGCTAGGGCGAGGGCAGCGAAAGGAAAGGGTCGCAGTAGCCGTCGACGACTCATAATGGATCCTGAGGATGATGAGGAACATCCCACTAACCTTTTTGGTACAATGTCAAACTCTCCAAGTAACTCCTTAATTGCTAAATATTATTTTCAATTCTCAACAATTGTCACTTATTTGTTAATGATTGTAGATGAAAGCATGCTTTGCCCTGAGAGTCCATTCACACCCAAATCGCATTCTGTTGCTGCGCCAGAGCGGAAACCAAACTCTATAAAATCTGTGGTGCGTGAGTCTCCAGAAGTTGCCAAGTCAGGTATCTAATAGTGTTTACACAGCTCCTTACATAAAGGAGACAATTTCTATTTCTGCATATGATTTAGTGATGCTATTAAATGCTTACATTTCAGCAACCCGAACTGTTACAACCACGTCTCGTTCTTTAGGAAGTCGTCGGATTGACTCTGTGTCTTTCTACTCCAGTGGCAACGAGTCGTTAAAAGCACGAGCATGGGAAAGATCCGGCGCTAAATTGATGGCAGCAAGAATCCGAGATTCTGTGGACTTGTCACAATCCTTGTCCGTGAACGATCTCGAACTTGACAGCAATGGGACTGATGGGACTGACAAACAAGATGAGAATAAAATTGCTGATGGATCTCCTGTTCCATGTTCTAGTAAAAGTTTGATGAACTTCCTCCCGTGTCTGGATTCTAGAGTTTTAGCCGTTGAAAATAACGAGAGCTCTTCCATTCAAGCTCTCATTCATGGAGAAATGAAGTCCTCGCCCAACGATATTTTATTAAATTCAACAGGTGTCAATTTACCACTAGCACCAAAATCTCCTGGTTTAGATACTCCTTCCAAAAGGGTGAAATTTAGTTTGGAATTGGTTCAGACACCCTCCCCCACAACTCCAGCTCGCTCCAATTATGGAACACCTGTAACTCCGAAGAGTATTTTGAAAGATGCTGCAAGCACCCCCACCCCAAATGTGGCTATTTAAGTGAATTCTTACTATGATATTCTCTCAACGAGTACGTGATGACTTTATATTTATTATTAGTAATTATATATTGGTCAATATGTAGATAAGACAATGGAAGGTAGAAATGTTGTTGTTCCCTTGTAAAGCATGAGCATCTTGTGTATGTACTAATAATAGCAACTTATTTATTAATTGCAACGATGTATGTGATAGATAATGAGAGTTTACAATTTTTTAACATTTAATGGTAAAAGGTTTACAATTTCGCACCACAATTGATTCAATAATATTATAAATATTGTAAAATAATCAAAGCAATTATAGTATTGTTGTAAATCAATAAACATGACGTCATCATTGTTTGGACATTTTGGGCTTCATGTTATGTATATCACGCTGCAAAAACTACAAAAATCATTTATAATAATGACGCATCTGATTTAGATTTGAAATTTCCTTAGGTTTGTTCCCCTACGCTGGTTTACAGTTTCTAACCCACACATAAGCACAATTGTATATCTATAGATTTACAATAAAGCCAGATAAAAACAAATGTAGAGCACAAAGTAGAGGAGGAAAGCCACCCTGTCGAAAAGATGTGCCAGCCAGGCCCAGTCTTCTTGATATGGATTTGTGGTTGCTACCAATTTTCCAGTATCCGTCGTTCCTCCGGACTCCCCACCGCCAGCTCCTCTCGCATCATTGTTGCTGTTTTCATGCGACGAACTTTGGGTTGGTCGAGGATCCAAGCACAATATCTTGGCCGGAATGCTGGATAGGAAGGTCTGAATAAAACCAGGAAGTGGTACTGGCGACGTTCGTCTCGATGCGGCCAAGTAGCGGAGGCAGACCGTCCAAATCAATGCGACAGACACCATCATAAGAGAGTCTCGATAGAAGAGCACTATAGATTTATAGCAATAACACATCAATTAATTATAATTAATTACAAAGTCCACTAGTGGACATCCTAGTTAGAAAGATGCTTTAGGACTAGAAGTCGTGTGACCGCCTCATTATTATCAACTTCGTGTCAACAGCCCAGAGATTACGAATGCAATTTTTATGAATGAAAAATGCTGTTATACACGAAAAGTAAATAATTTAATCAGTATGTCATTATTGGTGGTGAAGGGAAAAGGCAAAAAAAGCTTACAAACTAGTGGAACATTGTCCCCATTGTTAGGAAGTGATCTGTAGATGTAGCTGAGATACATCGTGTTGTTAATGACACACGCAAGCAAAAGGACAATTCTTTCCGTAGCACTGGGTCGCATCCAAAATGCGATCAAACATCCCATCGCGATTGCTAAAAATGTGACCAAAACAAGAATAAAACATGTCGTTAGTATGAAGAGACCCAAAGTGACAATTCGTTTAACTCTTGCAATTGAGAAAATTAAAACAGCATCTAATAAATGTATGTTAAATACCTAAACCTGGAACAACAATGGCGGCTTTGTGTGTCGCACTTTCTCGCGCAAGAACAAATGTCAATAAAATGTCTGGAAACGGGACTCCTGGGCAGCATCTAAGAAAGAATGCGTCGAAAGTTTTGACCGTAAGACAAGGGTTATAACTTATACTGTTCTGTGTATGTCTGGAATATGCTTACTCAAAATAATGATCTCTCTTCGTCATTCCGTTACCAATCAATTTCCATTCCCTATTTTTCAGCAAATCGGATGTGTCCATCTATTAAAAGCCAAAAGTTTCAAAATTGAACAAAGAAGTGTGCAGTCAAAGCTTTCATAAGTACCAAAGTCTGATTCACAGGCAGTCTAAGATTCAGCATGGAACCATCGTGGGCCCAACTTCCAATAACAACGAAACATGTTGCATAGTCCACCCTAAAAATTAGTTCATCAGAAAGTTTTAAACATTTTTAAAGATGCTCGTAGTTTGGCATAAATTAGTGTCGTACGGCCAATTTCGAAGGTCGTTTGTGCATCCGACTTGAAATTTGGTTGGTGGGACCCAGACAAGTGTCGATGTGCTATACGCTATAATCCTCGTGTTCCCGAAGTGATCAATCTCGCTCTTGTCCAAACTACTCACAAGAAAAGCCAACCTTTTAATTACTTCGCATTTTGTATTTTATGCAACACAGAAAAAACAAGTAAAACGACACGTGCAAAATATTAGTTGCATTCACATTTACATAAGCTAACCAAATAAGAATAGGAGTTGGTCTTATTAAATACATAAATATATGAAAAACGTGGAACCGAGTAACATACGTACGCTGAAATGTTTTTTTGTAACTCATATTCCAAATCAGGGAATACTTAATAATTGTGTTTGCTAATCGTGTTATCTATCCAGTCACTAGAATCATTCATTCATTGTTATGCGTTCGTTTACATAAAGAAATTTTAAGATCCAATGGTAAGTAAAAACAAGCCCAGTAGCACAATCACACTTATCAAATATGTTGATTTGTATATTTGATGGATGAATGCATAACTGTTAAATTGGATTGAACACAAAATATGTACATACTCGTGCCAATGTGCATTGTTAATAAATACTTGTTATGAATGAAGCAGAATGTTACATGGATGGGCGTATTCTGAATGAATGAAATTTGATCCATTTGACTGGATAAAAAATATTAATGACTGAATAATATGATTTAGTATTCAATGAAAATCATTTTAGTGGGATACAAAAAATACGCTTCAGTAAATGCAAGCTTACTTGTTGAAGACGGATAAATCAGGAAGCCATAATTCGTGGGCAGCGAAATGAAGACGACTTAAATTCCCATATAATTTAGGGTCCCATTTTATATGCTCGTCTTTCCATGTCTGCAGAGAAATTAGTTTAAAATCACAAAAATGGCAAAAACTTGCGAATTTAAGTCTGTCTGACCATGCAAAAGTTACTCACCAAAACTGACCAGGCATATAATGTGAAGGTTGATCGTTGTTCGTTCTAATAATAAGTAATAGAAACAAGCATTATAATTCATATTGTAACTGGGATATTCTATTCAACAGTTCTAAATTACAGCATAACTGCTAGGAATTAAGTAATACAAATTAAAAATCGCATTAAATATGTGTATGTGCATTATCGAAAATTGCATCGAAACTAGAAAAAAAGTATCGAAATTTGTCAGATTCCAAGATAAGCTTAGTTTAGTCAATTGGCTAAAATTATAGACTGCGAGTTTTTTCGATTAAAAATGGATAGTACTGCAATATCGTATTTATATATTTTACTACGTTAAGAAAAAGAGAAAGAATTATGTGCATGCAAACCTATAACTCAAATAGTTGCACATCATTTGGCAAGAATGACGAAGCTGGTATTCATTAGACAAGGAAGTGCAAGTGTAATAACGAGTTCAAGGTTGAAGCTCAATAAAACCATATCTTACAAAATCAAATCCTTTCAGGTAAATGTTAAACTTGACATTGGTAACATTGTTATGATTTTGAGCCGGTCGAGCGTTTTTGTCGTAACCATTCAGCAAGTCCTTTCGCAATCGGGTTGTATCTGGAACAAATTTAAGCTGCTTATTTTGTTTCGTCACTTCCAAAACTGCATTTCATGAAACGTGGAGCAAAACATGGGCCTGCAGTGATGTAAGAACCAGCGATTGTTTCTGCATTATCAGATCTGCTTCTCCCCTTCTGACATAATTATAATTTGGGCAAAAAGTGGTACCATTTCGTGATATGCTTATTTGGCTAAGGGTTTAAAAAAAGGATGACATGTGATTGCATCAACGTATAACTACATATGTACGTATATTTTTAAATATGAAAGCCTGGTGCAAGTCAAACAAAGGATTTAGTGAGACTTACATGCTTTTCATGTAAATTTTTGTACACAGGCCCAATAGTTTAGCTACTTCTGCAGAGTACTTACATATTTACTTGTAATCGTAATAAAATTTAACCTGTGACATCCGCGGCATCACAAGCACTCCTTTGAAACACAAGAATGAGGAATGTCAGTAAGAAATTGTATAGGAAAATTATACTTTGGCTCCTGTAGCGATTCTTGGTATTCGATGAGAATGACTGATATTTTTTCAAGTTCAACGATTGAAAAATCCATTTTGCATCATCCACGTGTCCGCACTTATCCTTATTATTCTCATCGAAAAGCTTGCTTGCGACAGGTTCAGCACAATCTTCAACCATTCTGCAAATTACTTTATTATTAGTTGTGGACATGAGCACATTAGTTTGTGCCTATTATAACAATCTAGTCAAATCACCTTGATTATTATGCCTAACACTTGCAATGATTGTCACAAGAAAGAGTGTAAATGGGACCGGTTTGTATTTGGATTTAATTAGTTGGAAAGAAATTAATACTTTTTTTAAAATATTCAAGTAAATACTTGTAGGTGTGTTTGCTACGTGTGAAAAAACTGTCGAGATTCGGTTACAATATTGAAGGCACAAAAAAGCTGGGGCGATAATAAAAGCACCGGATTCCGGTCGACGTCGACTAAGGAATGGTGTAGTTTATACTCCCATTTTTTTCCTCTGGTTCTAGACCCACATGTCGCTGCATGGGAGGAACGTTAGCATATTTTATTGAAATTCAGTAACTGAGAAACTTGAAGCATTTTGTAATCAATTCTATTTTAAATAGAACAGTATGGAATGTTATAAACGCCCACTGGCAACAATTCGATGCGAAATCGATTATAGGCTTTTTATGTGATTCAATCATGTTCCATTGATGAAGAAACTCGATCCATTTCGGCTTTTTCATGTCAAATAAACTGATATGATTTGGCCGTGATGCGATACCCTTAACAAAACCAATAACTTAGTGTTTATATAACACTACTTAAATTATAACTTGTGCAAGTTGAAAAGAAGTTTTGACAGGGCCAATGGATAAATATAAATGGCAAATATATAAACTGACATTGTCGGTGGTTGAGTATGTCTGCATGGGATCAAATTCATCGTTTTGGTGTCACGTTCAAAAAAATGGATGGAAACATTGGAAAGATATGCAGAATGAAAATTGGGTTCGTTTTATAAATATCACGTACCCAGTCTAACAATAGGTCAAAATATTTTTTTACAAATCAATGTTGTATCTATGCAGGTACGAATTTGAAGCCAAGTTTTACCTCCACTTTTGCTTTATACTTACCTAGGAGGATTATCCGAATATTTTGCATTTTAAAAAGAGAATAGGAATTCTGCAATCGCATCATATGCATGCAATAATAAATGATTAACTGCTATGTGAAATATCCTTTAATGTTTACTTTAAAAATATTTGAGATCACTGCTATTGCAACCATATTAAAAGAAAGGAAGCAGCTCGTTAATTATAAAGCCTTTACTTATATGAATAAATGCAAGATGTAGGTAAATTATACCAAATTGTACTGTAATACTTAATAATGCTGCTATGCATACAACTTCGCTACCACCGAATGCATGCATCAATGCAATAGTCAAGTTTATGTATGACGTACATTGTTGAGTTATAGCCAGGACTGACAATCAGTATATTTTATGATCTTATTACTGTTCATTTAATTGTTGTCCAAAGATAATTAAAATTGTTAAAAAATGTAATGTACATAAATGTCACGTGAGCAAATAATAGGATTTCATGCATACCTAAAAGTATAAAAACTACATATGTAGGAAAATGAAGTGCTAAACACACTAATTGCTATTTTAAATCGAAACCAAATTATTTCAGATAATGAATTACCAGGTCATGGATTGATCAATTATATTGAACTGATTCGAATAATTAGCACAAATAATTTGTTCTTAGTAAAATGTCATGTATGACTAATTTTCTTGCATTTATTGTCACCAATTTCGGATACAAATGTAATAAAGAACAAAAGCACAAATACATCATTAAATCAATGACAGCATTTTCTAATTAAATCTCACAGGAATACAAGAATATGTGGAAGGGTCTTCTTGATAATTACGAACATAGATTATTATTACATAAAGTCTTCAAATTGGTAAAGTCTTGATATTGAGGAATACGTACCTCAATCTTCGATAGTTGAGGATGAAACTAGTTTATTGGTTTTGTAAGTATGTATATACGGCCATATTTCAGATGGCGTAATACAAGTGTGGAACATGCATTTCTCAAGTAGTAGAATTTTTAACGTTCACATGCCGTTTGCAAATACAGATTGAATAGAGTGGATTATAGATAGTTTATAGATAAGGTTTAAGCAGATTAAAGATTAACAAAAAGAAAATTGTATATAATGTAAATATGTATATGACAAAAACAACTGATTTTTGTAATAAGTACAACTAAATTTCCGACAACATATATTCTACACCTTAACTCTTAATACACCGAATTTCCGAACTAAACACGTTAGAAAATCGGTTTGAGTACATATTGATGTATGTATTCCATAAAAATATTACATTAATGGTAAACTGGGGTACAGACTAATTTCTACAGAATATTTACAAGTTAAGAAATATACAGGTCTATGCATGTCTACTTTCGAGCTCTTATTAATTTTTCTGATTTTCTTGTGTGAAACCCAAAAACTAAATTAAGCTGAAATTAAACATGACATATGTAACTTACAGAATTCTACTCTACTCCAGGATCTTCGAGTGACTATTTAGTTATCATTGTAAGTAGATTGATTTTTTTCGCTGTTTTTGTCATGATTTGAAAGGTTGTGACCTCGACTTTAAAATATATTTTTCAATTAATCCAATTAAATCAATTCATACATAATCGACGCGATTAATTTACAAAACAATTTCGTGCATTTTAATTTCTTGACATTTTTATGATCACGAACGAATGAGATTTTCTTTTTCTTACTATTATTATAGTAAAATAGGTAACGATATAACAATGACGATAAACATGATGTTTTGTTAGGAGACGACTAAACGGAGCCGAAGTAGCGTTGCCCTTTGGTATAAATCATGCTCAGAGCTACAAGCACGCCAATGAAGGTTGCCAAGAAGAAAAAGATTCCAAACACTCGACAGGCACATCTACGCTTTTTTGCAATATCTAACTTCTTCCTTTGATGTTCCAGACGATGACCTTCCATCGTGAAGTCGGGAGATTTCTGTATAAAAAACAAATATAAAAGCCATGATTGTCTTATCTCAGAATGATTCATTTAGCAGTAAGAAGTCGTCAACGCACAAAAAACATAAAAAGAACGTACGCACGAAGAAGTGAGTTATGTATTGCGATACACATTTTTACGCACATATTGCATCCGCAACGCGGATGTCATGTATGCATCATAAAGAAAACATCCTTTAGTAAGGAATTCAATTAACCTCAAATAAATTCAGTAGATTTGACCATCAGCAGTTTGTTTACGCCCATTCTTGTTTAGACCAAATGGCACAATATTGTATGCTGTCTAAATAGATAAATTTTGCGACTTGATTTACGTCATGCTGTTAATAAGCTATGCATTTAAAACTTTTAACACGGGAGTTGAATTACGTAGCTCACACCGGTCAGTCACATATTTATAATCTCCATTACAAGTTAACTCATGTACATACATGCATTTGAAGACGTTTACCCACTGGGTAATACCCAGTATCAAAATGATGATAGGTTAGCTTGCAGGGTAAGTTATGGAACTCCTTACAGATTTTCCTACTGAAAACCTAAATTGATTAAATTCCATAAATGCAGATGTCACCTAGCTATTAAATAAGCTGAACAATAAGCATGTACATAAATATGTTGTATACATTTACACGCACGTCAACTAGAAAATTAAAATTAATTTCATTGGACTGAAATAGTGTGCAATTTCAGTGAAGGTTTATTTGATATTGGCATCAAGATCGTTGTCCTTATTTATGTCATGAAATTGCGAATTAATCATCTCTCTCTCGAGTATAATGTGAAATAACTTCTTGTCTCCTCCACCACTTTACAAAAAAGAAGGCAATGTTTCAAAATGCACGACTCACATCGAGTGATGAGCGAGATATGTAATGACAAAAGAATAAAAAAAATCTCAGTAATAATGTAGAAAAATGATTAACCGACCTCGGCAATTTTTTATACAATCGCAAAGTTTGATGGGATTGAAATCAAAATATCATACAACACGGATCTCTTTAGTCTGGCTATTGTCAAGCATTTTTGGATTTGCGTCGATTCAAAATTCAAGTTCAAGGCTATTTTGTTCTTATTTTTCTTTCATTACACGTAAACTTAACACCCTATGATATTTATAAAATGTTGACCAAGATTTCGTTTTGATCGGGGAACGATAGGTATTTATGAGGCAATATTAAATAACCCTTTTAATTGTTGTTTTGATAACGCTAATCTGGACAATTTGAAAGAATGTTTTTCATTCTTATGTCATCTAAATACACATATATGTGCTTCTTACTTATATACAGCTATTCTTATATGAATGTTAAGCACTATAAAAAGTACTTTCGGTCCATGATATCGTGTTTTATGAGATCACGATTTTCCAGGACAGGTCACAACACCGGTTTGTATGTCACTGAAAACCGAATTAAAAACCTGTTTTTTTTAAATATTTCTATTGAATAAATTATCTGAATCAATAAAATGTCCAAAATATAAAGTATTTACGGATCACTATCTTTTCATTTTTGCAAGTCTGAAGAAAAATTGGACAATTGTATTACGTGGCGATACAGACTACATGGTCCTCTAATTCTGTGGTGACGATTAGCAACGTGTCTCATCCATTTTACTGATCTTCTCACGTGAATCATGATTATAATGATCCTGATGGCTGGCATTCGCTTGAGCTGTGAATTCTTGGCCACTATACAACTTATTATTTTGCATTTACCTAAACCTAAATGCGATTCTGGAGGAGGACTACCTTTGACTCTGTGTTCGACTTGATTGTAAACGAACATGTTGGTGGACACAAGTTGTTTACTAGTTATTATGGGTGACATGAATGCCATTAAGTCGAGCCAAGTCAACCTGCAAGATTTCACTAAAATACTGTAATTATGGGTCTATCCTTGGTGCAAGGGTGCACAAGGCAGAATTATCTCAGCAACGCAATTTTCTGCATTTTTGGCACAGTTTTTGGCGATATGTACATATTTAATGTGATTTGAATTCATGCTATGAGCTCAAATGTGCTGGGTTGGTTCATGAAACAATTGATCAATGTATGCAATTCAAACCAGATGAGGGAAAACTAACGAAACAAATAGCACCTCAATTTCCGAATCGTATTTTATCAGTCTCCAGTTTCCTTAAATGTTTATCCTAAACATGTCATTGTTAAACGTGGCAATTAGAAGAAAGTGTGCGACAAAAATAACGCGGCATTTTTTTATTGTCGTTTGAAGCGTATAAATATTATGCTTACATGCAAAAATACCTCATAAAGCACATTTAATTGTCACTTGTGTAGATGCATGTATATATATAGTTGTGATGTACTGGTATTCATGTGTTGACTGACAATTATGTAGGTAGGGACATGCACACATCATAATGAATGATATCATGATGATTAGATGCGACTCTGTGGTATGCAGAAAAGACAAAAGACGCTAGGTTTGGCGTGTGCTGACCAAAACTGCTTAATTCTTGTGTGGGGTGTAACAGTGACAGCTCCATCAAGAACCATCAATGATTGACAACACTGACATTGGCCTTCCATCCACGATGGAACACTTGATGAAATACACGCAAATATTTAAATAAATTCCACGAAAACTTGCACAGTTTTTTGTACTGATACATAGTTTTTCATTGCCAATTAACTAATTAATTCTGCATGTATTCAATGGTGAAGTGATTCTCTTGGCTAATTTCAATGCCGATTAGTATTTTTAAAAACAGGAGATTTAAGCATGTGTTTTTAAAATGCATGATGACTTTATGGAACAATTTTATAAATTCAGTACATCACTTGAAACTGTATAATCTTGAAACTGTATATATTTTCATTTTGTCCAAACTATCTAATTTGCCAATAGGCTATTCAAACCACGTTTAAATCGTAGTACTAAATACGGAAGCTTCAGAGATACTGATCTACTCCTTCATAGGTAGCAAAAGCCAGACAAAGATTAACGAAGATGTGACAAAAGATAACTAAGGATTTATTAAATAGAATATTCCTCCTCGTAAACTTTTCTGTCATGTTCAAACAAATAATTGAATAAATACTAGTTTGTAATTAATCAAGACTGATTAAGTAGTCACAACATTTTTAGTAAATTAACTGATGGGTTATGAGATCTATCTTTAAACTGCCTTGATAATGAAATCATTGAACGGGATACAAATCAATATGTCCAAGAACAGCAAGCTTAACTATTTAGGATGGAGATGCCCATTGCCCATCCTAAACAGCTACAAGTACGAAGCGTGTGATTTTAATTGATGAACTTTTATTTGGCTGTCATCCTATATTCTAAAGCTCGTCTTGCATTTTTGTTCTCCACAATGATTTACAATTAAACAGCAGGATTATCCGGGTACACATTTGCATAGAACTGCAGGTGCCGCAGTTATTTTGTTAATATTGGATGACAGTGCGGTTGACATTGTCGATAATGCATACATAAGCGTCTGCATAAGGATTGCAAGATTTGCATTCATTCATCAATTCATCATAAACTGTAAATGATTGGCAGTCACTAAAAAACCGCAAAGATTCGTGAGGGCGAGTTATTAGATGGACATGCGAAAATTTGAACATGAGAGTCCATACATATATAATTTGCACGTGTCTGCTTATGTACCGTGTCTCATTTATTCCGTTAGAATATAATGTTTTATAAATTAATCGTTTAACCGTTTACTGGAACTTTATGCCATTATTTACACAAAATTCTCATCAGTTGGACAGTAAAAAAAATACGACAAAGGGGAGCAGAAATGAGAGTATAATTTCTGGGTTTGGGAGGATTGCATGTTTTGTTAAACAAATACCTCAAAGCTTCAGGTTTCAAGCTCTGGAGAGTGAAAAAGTGACATGGCTTTTCAATAAAAAGTGTAATCATATCATAATACTCTTCCGGGTTCAGTCACTAAACTATTACGTGTTAACGCGAATATGTAAGTATGCACATTTGAGAAGGTATAACAGCTCGCGAGGTATGTATGTATGAATGTCAGCCTCGGCTACTCAATAAAAACCAGTCTAGTTTGGTCTCAAATATGGCTCGATTCTGTTCTGTGTTGTAACTGGAAATGTGATCCTTAACAGAAACAACAGCATTATATAATTCGTACTCGTAAAAAGCTCATCAAATTAAAACTATGATCATTGTTTCAGTCTCATCTTCACTTGCACACTAGCTGACAGTCTCATGTTATGGCATGTGGTAGAAAAAGACAATTAATCAATCAATTTCACCCAACACGAGACTATTACATTATATACATACATACATACCGTCACATACCTTCAATACCAAACTGTGCATTTACAAGTTAAAACTAAATAACTCCTTAACAATCTCGTTTTCTTTCTGCCCATCCATATCGTTCCAAATAATTTCAGCTAAATGGGAGACCATGAAACTTGGAATTTGAACATAAAATACTAAATTAAAATACTGCTGGAACTAGTTTATACTGGGCAAGTCTGGGCATAAAATAAGTATGTGTACCCCAACTGTGTAAAACACCTGACGTAATTCGCACAACTCGCGAGAATTTTTGGAAAATAAAATGACAAAGGCATTAAAATAAAAGCAATAGAGTGAAAGACAAAAAAATGTCTGATGCAATATAGTTCAGTTAAGTCTTAAGTCAAGGTATTAGATTTGTATTGGGTCGTCACAACAATGGTTGGTACTGGTGTATCAAAAAATGAAGCCAAGAATTGGCCACATCATTGTCATTGTCTATCCGTTACTGAATGCAAGACGACGAATTAGCGCAAGGATGTGGCGTTGCATAATATGTAATGACAATGACAATGAGATAAGCTACATACTTTTAACCCTGCTAATAAATTGTAAAATTGTCTTGATTGGAAGGTAAATTAAACAAGATTTGGTAATGATCCGAACGACTGCCAAAATTTTAGTCAAAACAAACAAAATTGAGACAAGTTATGAGTACCAATTCTACGTATGTATGTATATACAGTCATATATAGTTAGGTCCAGCGAAGAATAGCTATGCATTATAGATATAATATTTACTTTATTTTATACGCCTAAATCTGTCCAGAAAAGTACAACCTTTGTCAGTGCAATTTTTGTTTGTATTATATTTTCAGTTTATAAAGCCAGATCTCAGGAAATTTAAACTATGTATCTGTATATATATAGTTGCACAACTGTTTACTTGAAAGGTATGATTTTAACCAAGCTACATTACAAGCGGCCAAAATTACATGACTCGTCAGTCCCAAATTGCGTAACGGCTTCTTGTGCTACTACGGAATACTTATCACTCTGCAGGGATTAATGTTATGTATGTCTCATCCTATTGTCATTGCTATTATGTCCTAAAGTTCCGTGGTAGTCGAATCACCCAAAGTGCTAATATCGTCCCATTGTGTACTTATTTATGTCGTGTTTCGTTTCCTCCCTTCTTTTCATGATTTCCTGAACCTTGATCTTGAACTTAAGCTGGAATTTCCAGCACAAGGATAAACTCGTGCTTACGGATTAATATGGATTACTTAGGTTGAGAATTACTTCATTTTTTGAATAATAAACCCTAACGTTTAAATCCTTCCTTATTTCATGACCTTCTAATTGTTACTACATAAAGTCGTGTTGATGTGCAGAGAATTACAGCGTATCACTGATGGGACAATATTTAAGACCAGGTTGGAGTAGCTTCTGGTATGATGATCAGCAAAAAAAATTACGTAAAGAACTATGAATTCTTGGAATTATTTTGCCGATGAATATTCATTTATGCATGTGTGTACCTATTTATAACTTGAGAACAAGTCAAACTCAAACACAAGCTTGAATGCAGACAGAATACTCCTCGCCTGCTACGTACTGCTTTCCAAAATTACGCGTATTTACAATAAGAACGTAATTCATACAAGATACAACTCTAATTATTCTTGCAAAAACTGGATTTGTATTATTTTATGGCGAGTCCAGAAATCAGGATTGTAGTAGTTTATGTCGATATCTTAAACGCCGAAATACAACGCGAAGAAAAACATGTTCACATTAAATTCTCCAGTCACAATGACATTTTATATTTTTTATTTTTACTGGCTTTCCAGAATCCAGTAGAGCAACAGGGAAAGAGAAGCTTGCTTAATGCACTGTTTCTGATCATTTTTACCAGAGACACATACTAAATCTCAAGTTTATGACTGGCGTTACAACGTAAAAAATGAGACAAACAATTGATTGGACTTACATAAACGTCCTGATTCGGGTGAAATGGAAGGACTGTAGTAATTCGCTTCTTCTTCCCGTTCTCGCCTTCGATCAAAGTTTGTTGAACACTTTGTTGCATCATATCCCAGACTCGCGTCTTGTTCTTTGAGGTGAAATTGGAAGGGTTGAAAATGTGGTCATAGAGCTCCCCCCTCTCCAACTGGCTGACATTTATGTTGACGGAAGTGGAAGGAATCGTGGGAATGACTTTAATTTCATTTTCAGCCTCTGTCTGAGAAGTGCTTAAAGGACTCTTCTTTTTATGATCAGTTGATTTTGCACCAGTGCTCGGCGGTCGGTAAGGTGGGGTTGGAGATGATGGGTTTGCATTGATTGAAGGGCTGCTGTTGTTGTTTGGTAGAGATATAATCGTGTAGCCTCCTTTTTTAGCGGAAGAAGCTGTCAGTCCATCGGGTAAGGTAATTAATGCGGTTCCTTTGAAAGAGTCCAAGCATATTTTATTTTTTATTAGTGTTTATGCTTAAATACGAATACTGTTCAGTAAAAAAATCTAAGGATGTTACCAGAAATAATCGCTTCGCGCAAATCCTGAGGAACCTAGTAAAATATAATAAAATGTGTCAACGCTAGTATTATGAATATTGTGTATCAATAATATAATAATTATAATAAATTGGACAGATACGCTTATCTATGAATATATGCACAACATAATCAAATTGTCTGGCACTTACTCCACTCAGATCTACGACCATATTTTGACTATCTCCAGTGACTATCATCACTTTATCCATGTGGGATAACTCGCCGCCCAAAGTGCCCTCATCTGATGGACGACTACTTGGATCTGGTGCTTTGACCGGAATTTTGGAACGTGATATTGTAGTCCGTCGGTCATGGACAAGTACAGGTCTGCTACCTTTGGAATTCTGATTAAATATTAAAGTATTTATTAGCGCATAAAAATTTGTTAGTTATTTTAGTCAATATCAAGCACATGAAGCCTCATCCTTCAAAGTAATATCTCTGCATAAAATGTATTTTGCTAATAGATATGTACTTACCCGGTCGGTTGAGTTTCCAGAGTCTGATGACGCGTCATCATCTCCTTCATTGTGAGAGGATGCTCCTTCGCTGGAAAGACCATCTCCGCCGTAAATGGAACTCTACAAAGAAAATGCATAATAAATATATTAACGTCGTAATGTATGGAAATGCATTTAAAAATAGCGTGCACAATAGATGAAAAAGATGAGTGATAGAATTAAGACAAAAAGTAGTAATTGTACAGGAGAACTTGTGGAGTTGGAGGACGAATTGTTCTTTTTGCTGGAAGATAATTTTGGAGAACAATTTTCCTCTTCGCCGGCCGACGACTCCGCATCGCCTTCTCCTCCGGCGGAAGAGCAACTTTCTCCATCAACATCTACTCCGGAGCTGGTCGAGTGTTCGGAGCACTGATCACTTTGTCTCCGATAAAAAAGGTCATCCTCCTCCTCCCCTCCATTGGTCGCATGGTGGCTGTTGTGGTGGTGATCAGGATGGTGGTGGTGAAGATGAAAGGCTTTTTCTCTCTTGAGGGCAGTGTGATTGTTGTGGTAGTGGAAGTCACGAGTCTTCTCGCTATTCATCTGCATGAATGGGCGTCCTACACTCCAGAGCTATCTGAAACTGACCGGTTCGAAGCCGAGCAGCTACAGAAAAATCTCTGCCCAACGACTTTTTCACTAAAGTGACCAGAAACTAATCTGGCCTTTCGAACTGTTAGTATTTCTGCTAGCACTCCCAGGTCTGTCAGAGTTCAATTCCGTTTCCTCCGGCGCATTAGAAACACGGGGTTTCAAAAATGTGCTAGTGCTTGAACTTAACAGAAAAGTGTCATTTGGACAAAACTACTGCTTGTTTTTTGTAAATTTCATGCACGGTTCTTTCTTTTCCCTTCAATTAAAAAAATGCTTGAGAAAAGTCGACGCCGCCAGCAGATGAGTGTGTGGAAACCTTTTTGACTTGATTCACATGCGACCACGATACAAACTTCCTCGCGCAGACAAATATCTCACTTTCTCACTTTTATTGTACTACTACTGATTTTGATTATTGGACTATTTTAGCCTCAATCATATTTATTACATGTCGAAATGAATTTTGTAGGATGTAATTGACTGCTAAAAAACTTCCAATGTCTTTAGACCTCTGTTTTAAATCTTCACACTTTGCATATGCGAGGATGATGTTAAGAAGAGCTGCGCTGATCAGATATTCTACCACCACGACTGCCCATGGAGAACTGATGATCTGTTCAGTTAGTGATCACTTTGCATTAAAAATAGTTGGAACCATGTCGACGCTGTCCATGACTAGACTAGTCATGAGCACGTTGGAGACATGCAGAATTCCATCATATTTACTTGGGCACCATGCACATGGGTGAATTGCTGTGATGATTCTTACGATTAGCGCAAAGAAAGACGCTAACCTACATAGAGAGCTATGCATAAGGTAAGGATAACGTGTAACCAAACACTCCACTGTCATCATATCAACAGAAGAGGCACACGTAGTAAAACATTCCGTGAGGGAGTAATTGCAAAAAATGCAACCCAACTCACCAGCACAGGGCCAAACACCACATGGAGAAACACATTTCGTTCATCAGTTACTTCCTTTAATCGTCGCAAGCCATCCCAAAATTCACGATAAATACATTTTGCACATCATAGCAGCACCACATCTAATGCATACGGACTCATGCAAATGCATATTTGTCAAACAGCAGGGTGAGTAAACAGTAAATGGAAAAATGAAACATTTTAGCATTATTGTTGGCACTACACTACACATCGTGTCCGTATAGTAACATTCAACTTGTGCAGCCAAGAAATACATGTCCTTACCTTCAAATGTTGTTTACTTGACGATGGTGATGGTTGTGGATGCGAGTGAATGGAAGCAGCGTTGCTCGTAGTCGTCGTACCATTGACGATCGTGTCCTTTTTGTTCGAATGAACTTGCCCTTGTTGAATTATTGACATCACTCGTTGACCCGCAAATCGGAAACGATCCCCATCCTCCTGAGACGAGGCTGAGGAGAGGGCCGAAGAGGAGGACGGTGGCTCAACCTCCTTCCAAGACCGTCCCTTCAAGTACACTTGTTGCACCCGGACAGACTCCCACTCCTCAATGGCGTCGTTGGACACGGGATAATTGCCGTGGCGTTGAGGAGAAGAAGCTTCTTGGGCGTGGCCAAACTGCTGTTGTTGGGCATAAAAAGATCCGCTTTTGTGGAATTCTGCCGCTGCTGCTGCTTTCCGCACGGCCGTGTGAAATGCTAATGCTTCGCGTCCTCGCCCCGAAAGAAGGTCGCGGACAATACCTTTTATTGTGTGAATAAATAGACCAATTTACTTTCCATTGTGAGAAACAACAAATTACGTAAATATAAATAGTATGCATCTGACACTGCAATTTGACTGCAAATTATGGTAAATATCCAAATATATTATTATCACTATGCATGTGACACAATCTGCCACATCACTTGGCAGGAGCAGGCAATCACGACTAAGGACGGACTCCAAGTGGAGTCATTTCTCCGTATTTTGAGTAATAAACGTCACAGTATATTTTCATGCGAGTCGAATAAGTTGTGCGCTATGACCTTCCGAAAATGATCTTGAAAATTCCCATAAAATTATATAATTAATAATATATGTAATGTGGGTTTACGAATCCTCTCAAAATGACAAAGACTGATTCAAACGTAAAAGGTATTTATGCGTCTACTTCTGAGCTATCTCGTAACTTCGTGAATAGAGCCATGATATGACTTCAACTAGTTCAATGTCAATGTCAAATTCAAATGGTGACAGCATGCTAAAACTATGTATGCCTCATAATGCAATCATAACAGAATATGCAACCGCTCAAAAAGGTGATGTCGATGAATAGCTTTCGTATAATTGTGCATACTTACTTTTCTTTGAACTTGTTTTTGCAGACCCGTTTGAATATGACTCAATCTCTTTGGCAATTTCTTTGGCAGCTGCATAATGATCAGCAATTCCGCCAAATGGTGACTTGGGACAGGATCCTCGTGGCAGGCATTGGCGTTTCCCATCGTCATCCCGATCATCATCATCGCTCCTGCGTTTATGTGAAGCTGATGACCCAGCCTCGCTGTACGTGGAGTCCTGATCATCACTATTGTCACATCCTTTCTTGTGTTTAGTGTGACGGTTATTGTGATGGTCAACGTATTCATTTGACGAGTAGTGGTCCGCGGCTTGATTAATTTCGAGAGACTTTCCGCTATTTGATAAAATATGTTTCACAGGATGGTTTTTGCAAATAGAGCTGGAGAAGTCTTCAAGGTCCTTTGCCCTTTGATTCCTTTGAACCAAGCCACCACTGCCATCACCACTGCTGATACCGCTTGAGGAGCAAGAGGAACTCGAAGACTTCCGCTCTCCTGACTTTGATGACTTTGATGAATGATGGTTCACTAGTCTATTTGCATTGTTGCTGCTGTTGTTCCCATTCCCTTTATTCAGCTCCAGAGGTTTACTACTTGTAAGCAGCAGTAAGGACTCTGTCACAATGGAGTCTTGTTCTGCGGACGGCTTCCTATAAGGTGGGGGCTGCCTTTGTTTGATTAATACTTTGTCATTTGTCTCCTTTGGTGCCACGAGCTCAACCATTTCTGAAAATGTAACGGATGGTTTTTTGCTCAGTGGTGGAAGCAGTGCAAGCGGTGGGGGTACTGGTGTTTGCGACAATCTTGTCACTGACGACAATGTTGCAGACTTTCCTCCTTCCGGGGATGGTGCTCCTATCACGATAGATTGCACATAGCGATTTTCCTTATGTACTATTTTGGCCACGCCGATATTGTCCTCCGCCTTTGTTTGATTATTTCTCGTGGGGACAGGATGAACACTGACTTTTGTGGAATTTGAATTATGCTTTGGGAAAATGGCATCTGTGAGGTGGTAGCTACTTTTAACGTTGGGGTGCAAGTTAGTTTCATCAATCGGACTGAGGGGCCTTCCTCCTCCCACGGACACTGCAATGCTGTGAACAAAGTCAGGATTTTGTTCCACAATGTGAAGAACAGGTCGTCCGTTTGCTGAGAGAATGGCAGCTTGGGAGTGAACCACAGGGTCATCCTCGTCTCGGAATAATTGACCATGTTTGGCTGGTGCCCTACTTAAAACTGAGAAGCTAGACGTGGACGACGTAGAGGATAAAGCATCCGTTCTTTGTCGGTGGGGGCTTTTCAATTCATCGTCATCACTGTGGGTTTGACTGCCAGAATCGTATCCAGAACTCCCTGATTGGTTTCCCCCACCAAGTACAACTTTGGGAACTTCTTCCTCTTCGAATAGTGGGTTGACTCTAAAATTTCCAATGATTAAAAAAATACTTATTATGTAGAAACTTTAACTGGTCCCGAAAAGAAGATTAATTCATGTATTTGTGATGAATATGAATCATAAATAAAAAGAAGGTAAAAAATTTACAAGAGAGTCAAATCAGTTTTTGTGTATACGTTTTGTACGCAAGTAGATATATCATGATACATATTTACATATCTCAGGACAATCCTCAGTATAATCTATTTATATATGTGCATCTAATCCTTAGAGGAGGATGTCACAGAGCCTTCGTAAAACTTATATCAATCGGCTTGCATCTACGGATCGAGGTCAATTTAGTAAATGAAAGAGTTTGATCAAACGAGGAAAAAATGAACGTGTGGCAAGTCATGTCAATTTACAAAGTTAGTACTCTACAACAAGGAATGCCAGCGAAACACATACACAGGTAGATATTTATTACATCTTGTATTGAATCTAGACTCACCTGCTCACGGCATAGATCTCTTCAGATTTATTTTTTGACTTTTTCTGCTGAGGATTAACTTGAATGGTGGCCAAAGGGTCTGTAGGTTCCAAGTTAAGGAAGTTACTCATAATTAATTCTCAAAATAGCTCATCAAAATATACGAATTTTTATGGTTTACATGACTTTTCACCATTTCATTGTCTTAAAGGAGCTTACCATCCGTAATTATTTTGTTCTGACCAACCTCGTGAGAGCCATCATTATTATTGCTAATTCCACCACGAAGAATGTGATTAGTCGGCTGCTTCTGTTTCAACCAAACAAATAAATATGAGACTGCGAGGAAATTTGACACCATGTCGTTTGGTTGAATTGGTAGTCATTTAGTCATGTGTTGTTTTTTTATCATAGAAATTTTGTTGATTTAATAATATTTAGAAATTGTTTTGTCCGATATGATCATACCAAACATACAATGACTGATTATAAAATCAATTAAATAAATTCAGCTCACCTTCAACCATTTCAGCATTTTCTAGTTTTGGTCGTGGAATCTCCCACGAAACATGACATTTGAATAATGTATCGCACAAAATTAGTAACAAAAAATGTTCTGGAAAAATTGTACAGTTAATTTTCAATGTATTTCAAGTTATGCATCAGTATCCATCCAACTCTTTGTGGAGGATTGTTTTTTTCGGCAACAAGCCTTTCTTGACATTGTTCCAAAGACGACGACGGCATCTTTTTTAGTGTCCTGAGATTTCCGACGCTGTCCTTTAGATTAATGTAGAATTATGTAGGTCCATCCATGTGAAACCCTGACAAAATCAGATAATTATGGTTCTCATTAATGACTTGCAGCAAGACACATGTGCATAAAGAGAAACAGAGAGTGAGAGAGAGATGACCAATACTGTGCTCACATGAGATTTTAACATTGCTTAATTTGCGATTTTAAATTTGTGAAGGCGAAGGTAAATGAGAGATTAATCTTGAGCCAATAAAAATGATTGTGTGTACAATGATCTCGCATTACATAACGTTATGAAAAATGTCCTAAAGAGAAGGAAATTATCTAGTTACGTGCGGCCATAAGCAGTAATGACATGGGGAACCTCGATCCTTGTTAAAATTGCTATTTATGATCACCATAATTACTGATTGGATTACGAGCTTCGTCTTTTCATAGTTGGTAGTGGTGCTCATGCACGATATGCATCATGCAGTTTATGATCCTATACTTCTGGAATTTGAAGGAAGGAAGAAGTAAACGTGAAACGAATGCCTGCTGCTTTACATTTATTGTTTAATCTGGCGGCGATCCTTTAACAAGGAGCTGAAAGACTTTATTTTCGTGCTCAGACCATTTTTCACACCTTACACCATTATTTGCTGTGGTAATTCACGCAGAGTTTAATTTCACGCCTATAATTCAAAATATTTCATATTCAATTTTAGCATTGCCATCTCTATAACGTGTCAGGTTTTGCAGGGTCAGTCCAGTTTATATTAGTGCATGTGCAGTTAGCGTCAACAAAGATGAAGGTAAAAGCTTAACCAAATCAAATACGGGGAACAATTAATGTTTTACGCCGGGACAACCCTGTCCAGACTAATATGCTATGCCTGCTATGCTGCTACATATGCTCCCGACGAAAGATCAAGTTAAAAACGTTCGAGCAATGATCATGAAAAAATATTATCACTCTTGACATTATCCATTTCAACTTAAACATGAAATTGATGCAATAACTCTGCAAAATAGATATGAACGTGTGCATGAGGTCAGCTTTCGGCAATAGACTTGTCAAGCTTACACCAAGTTTCGTTGTATATTATGAACAAATCACATTTTCGTCGTTACATCGTACTTAATTGATTCCATTCATGGTCAGCTGACGATGATGACATTAGCTTCTTCATGGAATTTATGTGTGGTGCATTCTGATTGAACTTTCAAGATTTCCACAAAACAGTCATCAATTTTGAGTTGCATAGTTAACGGAATGGGACCTAACACGAAAGCCGAGACACATCTTGGAAATGTGGATGCACTATAAAATCTGCAGAAACATAATGAAGTTACATACAATAATCTCTTTACGTACCCTAGAATCAAAATGCATGCGATCTAGACATAATTTTGTAAGATATCTTATTTTATGAGTTTTTAGGCAACTATTTAAATAGAATTAAAGGCATTGCATGATAATGATCATCATCTTGTTTTGCAAAATGACTAAATCACAATTTATTGAATTTATATTTTGCGAAAATGCAGGAAATAAGCAAGGGCAAGCCCAGCCAAAGCCTACTAAATTAATTAAATCTCATGTCTGCGTTTATTACAGACAATAATTAAATAGTGCTGGACAAATGTAGGAAGTTTATTTATGTATTAAATAAGCGAGGAATATTCATGTCTACCTCCTCATTGCTAAGCCATTAGTGCACGACAATCACGACGACATGAAGTCATAAAGGAACTAACTGCTATTAATTAAGCCGTTGCTATTATAATCCTGGATACAAATTTCGATGGGATACTCATGTCCACCCAAGATCAGTCGTGGTTGGTTAGTTGCTTCTTACTTGGACCCATCCTTTTGTTAAATTTGTCTTAAGTTTTCATACGTACTGGTGGTCCTCAAACTCTTAATTAATTATTTTTCAATGCAGTAAGAATACCTGGGAATAAATCAAGTCTGAGATGGTAACCCACTGCTGAACCACACTGCTGCCATAAAACCAAACAATCAGCGTTATCCTTATTTGCATTCGACCAATTTATTTTTTCCAGTTGCAGTTACCAGATGCATAATAAGTATTTACGAGTTTACGACTGCTTCTGAAAGGAAAGGGGTGTTTCTTTCCACAGTGAGTTCCTAAATGATGAATGGTTCGCATAAAGTGCTACAATATGCATCCTAGCACAATAAATAATATCCAGAAAAAATGCAACTTTGTAATTCGTAGTTCGCAACAAACTTGGTTTATTATCTCGTAATTTATTTTCATATTTCTATTCTATCTGATGAATGAGTTTGTGAATGGGATTTTTGAGCATGCGTGGAAATGGGAAACCACAACTTGTCATTTTTCACAATTTTGATGTTGAAAAGAGAACCATAACCAACGGTGCAACTAGAGCATACACAAAACTAATATATTTAAATACAGATGTGAAGTAGCTGCGACCAACACTTTTTGTTTTGTTCAGGAACGTTTGGCTGTGAAGTAAGAATGTTACCAAAGAATTTGTGCAAGAAGCTACCTTGCCAGAAACGATGTTGAAGTTTACTCATGTAAACCAAGTTTGAAAGAGCAAATAATATTTGATTAATTCTTAACAAAGCTAAGTCATGGACGTTATTGGTGGTGTACTCCAATCCAATCTATTGTAAGTATGTACATATACTAATCCTAAGTACTGCTATCAACAATGCAGTGCTGTGTGACGAGGATGGTATGGAACAAAGAGAGTTGAGATACGAATAAAATTCAGAAATTCTATGGTTGATGGGTTCGATTTCGATTTCATTCCAATATAAATATGTACAAGTATGAAGCATTTTCTTAAACTTTGAGTACTTTTAATTGCTTTGCCAAAATCATCCTGTGTTATTCTAAAATTGAAATTACACAGTCATTCATTAAAGAAAAGTAAATCAATTTTATTTTACAAGATTAAAAAAAGTATTACAAATAGATACACTAGACAATGTTTTCTGAGTATTTTCTTCTTCCCACACATGTGCTTTTATAATTAGTCAAATTGAGTCGATTTCAGAAACAATTTTCATAACCCAAAGTCAAACAAAACGTTAGAAAACATAAAAAAATTGTGATCTCAGCATTAGGTAGCAGCCATTAATCGTTAGTTAATGTAGAAGGGGAATAATATGCATTTAGCAGGGCTCTGTTTGTCAATTTCCTCTTTGAAAGTCTTTAAGCTAAAGATAAGTATGTCGTCCTGAAGTGAGGTTGAGACCATTTTTTCACTACTGCATCTTCTCCAACGAGGCAACGGCTCCACGGTGGATGAAAAATCGACATCACGCATGATTTTGATTTTATATTGGCAGGCTTTACATGCTTCAGACAGTCTAGGGCCTTCATGGGAATTTATGCATTTGGGTTTGATTCTAATGATTAAATTTTCAAGAAAACTTGAACCTTGTCATTCACAGCCGCCAATATATTTGCATAACGTGCTTGCAAAAAGTCTGTCAATACTTCAAGTAACGGATACACAGAAAAGCCACTGCAAGGTAATGTTACAAAATAGCTACAAGGAGTAATTTCATCGACACATATCCGGTGCCCTTTGCTTAAATGGAATTGCAAACTTGGTCCAATATTTACCCAAAATTAAATAACCTTAAATTCCAAAACTAAGCCAGACCACACCACACGTCTGGTACAAGAATGTGGGATGACTATACAAAGTGAGGGATTAATACAAGTTGGCATTCAGGAAGGTCAGTCGTCGGTGAATTAAATGTGAGCAAAAGTTCTATCGAATTAAAATACCATAAATCACTTGTCTTAAAAGTAGCCAAGTAAAACAACCTGCACAAAATGACAAAAACCATGTGTGTGACTTTGCAAATAAGTTAAAGGTCTCACAAGTACGACGCCATAATAATGGATGCATTATTGAATTACATGCGCATTAATAGCTCAATATCCGCTTTATCTTTGCATTTTTAATCAAGAATGTGGCAATTATTAATTTACTGATATTAAATTTTCTGAAAATGTGTACCAAAAATATAACACACGAACTGTCAGCTCAAAATTGTCATCCAATTTTGATTTGTTAATTGAAATAAATCTGTTAAGACCATTAAATCCTTTGAATTTAATTGGAGGTTATTTATCTCCTACTAATTAGTTACTGAACCTAACATAGCATGAAACTTGTACAATGTTGCACTTAAGCAAACACGCTGTTTACAATGTAATCCTAAAGGTTACCACATAGAATGAATGTCATCAGTCTCATAAAAATCCGCCTATTATTTTAATTACTCGGAAGGACAAGTTTGTTATTTGTGTCTGGTGTACAGTAATGCCAAAATATTTAGAAGATTTGGGTGTTTTTTCACCAACATTACAAAAAACAAATAACATTCATTTGTCTGCTGGTGAACAACTGTAAAATGTAATTTTAAAGTATGCATGTAACACGCCTGCTGCAGTATCAGTATCATATAACATTCCAGTCGTGGAGTCCTTATAGCCTTACCAACTTTGATTTTATATGTGGCAGTGGTTGTCGTAAAATGTATTGAATAGTTGCATACATAAATGTACATAAATATAAAAACTATTAATACAAACAAGGCATCTATTCGGATACGAATGCAAAATATATGTATGAAGACTAAATTATTGGGGCAAAACCGCAGTAAATTGAAATGTCGCAGCAAAGTGCAAATTCGCCCACAATCATTCCCAACCTGATTATTCATCAACGAACCAACCACCTGAACAAATTATTACAAGGAGATACTTTGGAACTCATACGTACGTACACAGTTCCTGGTTGATTTCCAAACCTTCATGCACACAACATTGTTGTTTGTACTTAAAACAAATTGGTGCAAGTGTCAGGAGATTAAACAAAATGCTTGGAATGTGCATAAGGAGCAAAGCAAATAAATTGAGCAAGTGTCGTTTTCTTGAGAACATGACGTATTTGCTTGTGCATGTATCACTAACCATGATAATGTGCACCATGAATAAAAAGAAGACAAGTTCCAAATTTTCAAAGCTAGACAAGAAATTGACAGTGAATTTGGACAATTGACGT